GCGAGGTGTGGAGCTCATGTTGCTGGCCAGACAATCGTGTGATGAGTCCCTGCATGAAGAAGCGTGTTTGAGGAGTGCATGCCGCAGGTTGAGCTTTTCCGTCTTCTCCTTTTTTATTTATTTTCTATTCTCTTTTACCGCGTTTTCTTTCCTCAAGCCTGTCCACAGAGACCTTTCTTTCTCTTCTTGTTGGGGTTTAACACGAGCGTCGTGTATGGGAGGTGGGCTCTGCATTTAGACTGTCTGTCCGCCTGACTTCCCCGCTCACACCTGGACACCCAAGCCACCGCACAATCCGAGCGCCAAAGTAAACAAAGAGGGGGCCAGTCACGTAAATAATGCGTCAACCCTAGCATGCTTACCCCCGTCGGGATCCCGTCGGGTCTGTTCCTATCAGCGCCTGGTCATGTGATGAGAAACGAGGCTTGAGCATTGTCGTCGGCGTTCACGTTTCCACGACCACGATTCTATCTTGGGGAATTAAGTGTATAGGATTTATACGACAACTTGGATATATTTGCTGATCTGGGTATGATGGATTGACTTATTATTTTCCATTGTGATCATCTGAACCTGGTCTCGTCTCGGCTTCCATTTCCAGGGAGCATCTTTCGCCGTCGCAAGGCTGAAGGTGAGACATTGGCCTGGCGGAGATGCTGCCTGCACATGCACAACTGAGGCCTGATAATGGGACTCTCTCGTGAGCAAATTAACCCAAGCGATCAGTATCAGCAAATACTACCTTTATGGAGGTCGTTCTTCTTTGGTATCATTTCAATGCGTCCAGCCCCGCCCGCAGGCCCCGACGTACAACGCGTAATTGGGATTTGGAAGTTAAATCAAGTCCCAAGAAACGAGGATCACGAGAGCAAGATTCTGGGGCTGGGAAATGTATATGAGTGTGATAAGATTCGCAGTCGTAAAGCCAGCTCAGCACTGCGTGAGGATCGAACTCCGGGTGCTCTCTTCTTGAAAATTGGGTTGCAGATGATGAGTAAAGTATTGTGGGCTGCCGGCGCCAGTACAATTTGAGTGGAACAGACGCTGCGATCAAAAACAATGAACCGCAGAATAGATATGCGGGTGCTTTGGTATTAAAATTGAGCCCATAAACGCCTTATCATTCTATTTAAGATTTCTTGAAAATCGAAGAGCAAGAATGCGGAGAAAAGGAAAAGAAGGAAGAATAAAAAGAAAGAAGAAAGGGAGGGGTGTCCAACCTTTGGACATGGAAGCACAAGTTCCTTATGTAATCCGTCATAGCCGATTCTAGGCCGAGGCCGAGATCCAACTTTTTTTTCCCGACAAAGAAACTCTCGACGGAGAATTGAGGACTTATACACGAGAAACACCTTGAATCACTATCTGCCCTCCTTCGGGGAGCATCCTTTCTGACAGCTTCTCCAACACAACAAAGTCTCGACGCGACACACACAATATGGCTCGCCAGAAGAGAAAGCACCAAAAGGAGAACCCCAACTCAATTGAACCCTCAAAGAAACGCATCAAGACCACCGACGATGCGCCTGACACCCAACAACAACAGCTCCCCAAGCCACCGAGTCTTCAACCCAAGAAGAAGGCCAGTGGCGCTCCCGCCAAGCCACCCTCGAAGAAGCAGCTTCTATCCGACAAGTCCACGTTTCCAAACGAGCAAGACCGCACGATAGAGGCTCCTCTCTACGAATACCTGGGTAGCGAGGACAGCGATGAGCGTCTGCAGGCTGCCGATGTCATTATCTCGAAACTCCTCGACGGCGAGGGCGTGTCCGAGTCCACTCTCGATAGGCACCTCGAGAAGCGACTGTTCCGAGGCCTGGCGAGCAGTAGGAAGGCTTCACGGCTGGGGTTCAGCGTCGTGCTGACCGAGATCCTGCAACAACTATGGGGCGAGAAGGACCTCTGCGGCCAGAGGTACAGGGGGTTAACTTTCAACTTCGTACTCGAGACACTCACAGAGAGGACGAAGCCTGTGGGCAACATCGCTGGCCAGGAAGAGAGGGATCATTACTTTGGCCAGCTTTTTGGCATCGAGTGCTTCGTCCGCGCCAAAGTTCTGTTTGACGATGTCACACGCTGGCACACCATTCTGGACCTGCTGCTGAAGCTCTCCAAGAAGAAGGTCTGGCTGAAGCCACAATGTGCCTGGATCATTGTGCAGACGGCGCCGCAGATGGACCAGGCCATTGCCGAGGAGACCCTGCGGAAGCTCGACGGTGCCGGGTGGGCTAAGAGCCCGGAGGCTGTTGCGCTGACAGTGATATTCACCGAGCGGTTCCCCAAGATCAAGCTACCCTCCAAGTCGTGGCGAGACTTCCTGTCATCAAAATACCTGGGCGAACTTCCTGCAGTCTTGAAAGACAACAGCAAGCAGGAAGTGTATGGTCAGGACACCGCCGAGAAGCAGAAGCAGGCGAGCTGGACGGCACAACTGCATTTTGTCTGGGATATAATACTGACGCACTACGTCAAATTGGCTGCTGCGAAGTCCAGCAATGCTTCTGAGCAGTTCAAGCAATTCTGGACACGTGTTGTGGACCAAGGTTTCTTCTCCAAGACAGCCAGTGAGCCGCAAAAGTTCACGGGCTTCATGATCTTTCAGAAATTCCTCGAGATGGGACTGTCATACCCCCATATCATTGACAACCTCTTTTCACAAAATCTCACCATCTGTCTGATTAACCAAGCCGCGATAAAGGACCGCTATCTGCATCGGGCCGCTACCAAGTCCCTCAAGGCGATCGAGCGTGCTGCCGAGTCGGATCCAGATATCGTGCCCGTGGTCCTGCAAGCGCTTCTTGGCAAGCATGGAGTTTACAACTTTGACCAAAAGACCAATGGCAAGACTGTCGACAGGCTGCTGCATTGTTTGAAACCGGATCATTCCTCGGAGGTTATCAAGATCTTGAGGCGGCTTGTCCTGGCCTCTGATGGGTACGTTCTTATACACATATCACATCATCATATCTAGCTGAACACGATGCTGACTTGATGTTCACAGAGAAAACCCCGACAACCATCTTCTGGTTTATGCAGACTATCTCTTCCGCCTAGCAACCATGGTGTCGGTAGAAATAAATGCGAAGAGCACAGCAACCTCGTCCATTGGTGGTACAGCCCTGCAGGAATTCTCGAAGCTCGCGTATCCCAAAGCCGGTGAAGCCGTGCCTGGCTTCAACGACAAGACAAAAGTCATCCTCAGGCAGCGGCTCAACTCAGCCCTGGCCAAGTTTGTTAAGCGACCCGAGGACTTTAGCGAATTTTGCAGCGCTATCATGTCGATCGACTCGAGCAGTGTCGAGATGGACGACGAGCTGCAGGCGGAGCTGCTTGAGGCACTCGAGAAACTTCAGGAGCTGACCAAGCCGAAGAAGTCCAAAGATGACAAGAGTGGAGCGTACCAGGGGCTCGCTCTGTTGTATGCCGTGGCGATACTGCAGCTCTACAATGAGGAGCCCGATGCGGTGGAGATTCTGAACGACTTGGCGCAATGCTACGAGAAGCTCCTTAGCAAGCAGCAGGACGACGATGCTGACGTTTCGGTGCTGCTTGTCGAGATCCTGCTTGCCATGGTCGCACGCCCGTCGTCACTGCTGAGACAGACCGCGGAGCGTGTATTTGAAAATTTTACGGGTCTCGTGACGGCAGAGGCATTAGCACTTCTGACAGACACCTTGGCAGCGGACGAGAACGCTGAGGGTCTGCGGGCTCTGTTTGACACGGATGCAGACATGGAGGATGCAGAAGAGGCCGGTGATGCAGAAGACGATGACGATTCTGGCATTGCCTCTGATGTTGAGTTTGTAGAAATAGGAGGAGCTGAGGCTGAGGACGAGTCGAACAACGAAGACGACGAGGATGAGGAAGAAGCAAGCGAAAATGAAGAGGAGGACGATGAAGAAGATGACGACGACGAAGGTCATGATGAACAATACAAAGACCTCGACGACGCGCTCGCCAACCTCCTCAACAGCCACCGCCTCGACAAAGATAAGGACGCCGAATCTTCAGACGAAGACTCAGACATGAGCGACTCCGAGATGATGGCCCTGGACGAGAAGCTCTCAGCAACATTCAAGCTGCGCATGCGCGACAGCAACAAGAAGAAGGAGAACCGGGATGCAAAGGAGACTGTCGTCAACTTCAAACACCGCGCTCTGGATCTCCTAGCCATCTTCGCACGCAAGGAGGCCACCTCTCCGCTGGCATATCACATCCTGATACCGTTGCTGCAGCTGATGCGCACGACCAAGACGAAGGACCTGAGCAAGAAGGCAGGTAACATCGTAGCAGAGCTGCCCAAGGCGCAGAGGAAGGTCAAGGGCAGCGAGGAGGACGAGGGACGACGCCAGGAGACCGAGGCTGACCTGGACGATTTGGAGAAACTGCTCGAGGAGATCCACGAAGAGATGACCAAGGACGACTCGCATGCGTACGCGAAGACTGCGTCGACAGCCAGCCTGCTGGTCGTCAACAGCCTCCTCTCCCGGGATGTGGGCCTGTTCCAGTCCATCTGGGACCAGTATGGTGGGCTTGCGATGCAGTGGGCCATGCGCGGCGGCTTCCAATTCTCGACCATCATCTCGGACTGGACGCAATGGATACAATCGCATCCGACGCTGGTGGCAAAGGTCATGCCCAAGGCGTCCACGGGGTCGTCAGAGAAAGGAGAAGAGGAAGGGGAGTGATGATGCAAGTGCGCAAACGATCTGTAAATCAATCTTCTCCTAGCCTATGGAGCTTCCAATGTAGCACAGAGTCCGAAAAGGGAAAAGATGTCATTATTCTATCATGCCTGTTTTCGTCGACTTCGGTTCCATGCTGGTGATACAAGCGCTGATGAAGATGCGATTTCAGCACACTCATCAACTGCGAGACTGAGACAGCACACTCAATTCTGTATGCAGACCTGAGAAGCTCCCGGCCTGAGTACGTATTGCCTGAGCTATGTCTCCCTGCCCCCCCCCCCCCCCCGGGAAAACTTCCGCCTGGAGACAGCCTCAGTCCTCCTCCATTTTGTCGTCATCCTTCTTCTCGTCCTCCTCATCCTCGTCGTCCTTCTCCTTTGCTAACCGGAGGGCCTCCTCGATGAGTTTCTTGGGGACCTCCTCATGCCGACCCTTGGTGGGGCCATCCTGGCCGCTGATCCAGCTCATCTCCAGCTCGTACTCCTTGTCCTTGTTGTCGTCGTGGGCGGTGTGGATGATGCGCGCGGCCTCCTTGACGGCCTGCTCGAGGGTGATGCCCTCCCCGCCGAGGTCGAGCTTCTCCAGCTCGGCCTTGGCGGCCTGGCGGCCCTTGCCTGTCGCGGCGCCGTAGTAGCCCCAGTACATGCCCGAGGGCTCAATCATGTAGAGAAAAGGACCGCCGTGCTTCTTGTCCTGGACCTTGCCGCCGGCGCCGCACGAGGGTCCTGATCCGACCTGGCCGTCTACGGGCAGCTCGAGCTCGCTGTCAAAACCGCCCACGATGGCAGTGATGCCGAAGGGGCGGACGGACTGGTACAGGGTGTAGGCCTGCAGGTAGCCGCCCATGCGCGAGGCGAGGTCGGCGGTCGTGATGGGGGCCTTGAAGTTGTCGCGCCAGGAGCGGGCCTCGTCGCGTGCGCGGTCGATGAAGTGTCTGCCGTCGGGGATCATGCCGGAGTAGACCTGGAAAGAGAAGGGGAAGGTTCAAGAGCTGTCAGCCTTTCGCTTGTCCTATAGATCATGCGACGTCCTTTGCAAAAAGCGAATGGGAGTGAGTGTGTGTGTTTATGCGGATGGTTCCAACGTACAACGCCCAGATGTCTGTCAACAGTTGCAATCCTCTTGTTTGCGCCAGCCTTTAGCAGTTTGGATGTGACGACCTTCTCAACCGCCAGGACCACGCCGTCTTTGCACCGGATGCCGATGGATGTGCCGCCATTCTCGACTGCCTTCACAGCGTACTCGACCTGGAAGTTTCGGCCATCGGGGGAGAAGATGGAGTTGGCGAGATCGTAACCGGTTCCTATCGACGTCTGTGGGCCCAAATGGTAAGCCTGTGATACTGGAGGAGGGGCAGCAGCAGTCTGGTTGATCTGTAATAGCTTACCATTGTGATGGTCGGTCTGTGTTTGAATGAGGACGCTTCGAAAAGAACAAATGACAAGGGTATGATGTTCGTAAAATGGAGGTGCGAGAGTCGTGTGTGATTCGTGGAGAGGAAGAGAGAGAGATAGAGGACTGGAGGGAAAAGCAGTTTTGGGTGATGATGGTTGGGACTTGGGAGCTTCAGACTGACGTCCAGCAACGCAGCTCGTAACGCGCAGCTCCCAGCTGCCTTGAAGTGTGGCGGTGCTACCACGCACTGTGGCTTGAGTGCCACTACAATATGTATACCCCCCCCCCTGCTGTGGCTGGGGAGATGCCTGGCTCAGGGTCAGGGTCTGGCGGCTTCCATGTCTTTGCGGTTAGCGGCAAAGGGAAGGAAGGACTTCGGTTTGTATTTCTCTTCAACCAAGTGTATATTCATGTGTCATTGTAGTCAGATCTACGCGGCCTTGAGTGATGAAGATGGGTCACAGCATGGATAAAGCACAGCATCTCAACAATGAGATTTTTAAAATTGTGCAGAATGTTGTTCATCTAGCAACCATCGAGCTGTCCATATCATGATGATACTGAGGCTATGGATGGGAAACAAGATTCTTTCGCAGACGCACATCACTCCTCGACAGGCCTTAGAAGCTCTCCTTCACACGTGCCAAATCCGAAAAGCTTCTTGCCTGTTTCTGGTTCACGACACCAGCCCTCTATCACTACCCGGTCCCCATCCTTCAGGAACGATTCTGCAACATCTTTGGGCGCGGAAGACAGGTAGTTGGATGGACTGGTACGCTCAAAGAGGCAGCCAAGCCCAGTCTTTTCCCCTTGAGAATTCGTGCGCTGCTCGGTTCTCAGAATCCACAGGTGGTTAATACATTTTTAACCTGCTAAAGATTAAGGAAGGGAAAAAAGCATTGACTTACGTCACTTGAAATCGTCCCAGTCCCGAACAAGTCTCCAGCTGCTAGTCCTTCACCAGCACTGGCAAGGTGCGTGAGTTGCTGGAAAGGGGTCCAGTAGAGTTCCTTGAGATTGGTCTCGCAGATGGTATACGAGACATCATCTCCTGTGTCAGATGCAATAACGTAAGATACACTGTCCCGATTATACAACTTTTATCCTTTGGCATGGACGACGTACGGATGATCTTGGCAGAGAGCTCAATATCGAATGTCGCTCTCGCCTCATGAGGATAACGCAAATGGGGCAGCGGCTCTACCTCTTGGTCCGCGTGTCTGGCGCAGATGCTTGCCTCTAGAGCCTCCACGGTGACTATCCAGGGTGAGATGGAGGTTGCTGATCCTTTGGAATGAAAAGGACCAAGCGGTGCCATCTCGAACAACTGGATCTGCCGGGCAGACCAGTCGTTGAGCAGCACGAAGCCAAACACCTTGTCACTGCTCTCACCAATTCTCAGCCTCTGGCCCCGGGACAGGCCCTCGGAAAGAAATACTCCCATCTCGAGTTCGAAGTCCATATGGGTTTCTGGCTGGAACATCGGCTGCCGCTTCTCTGCGCGTGGATGTGGGAAGATGCCGTACGGTCTGTGGACTGGCGTACCCGAGACTACCAGCGACGACGTTCGTCCATTGTAAACCATAGGGGCGTTGAACCAATTGGGACTGATCACACCGTCCTGGCGCAATACCGCTGTACACTGTCGACATGATCAGATGCTAACTATCAGGGCGGACGGCGTTCATTTCGGTAATAACTGTACAGAAGAGGCGGGCGAGCACAACTGGAGATCGTCGAGAGACACGCACATTTTTGGTATGCTCCAAAGAGCAATAGAAATCGGAAAAGTTGCGAGTATCCATAGGAAAATGGTTCTCGATCTCGTTGAGGGGTATAAAGGCCGGATAGGCATGCGCTTCTTCCCCGGAGAGATATTCCGTCAGCCTCTCGCGCGCAAGCTTTCGTGAAGCCTTGGGTAAAGCGGCGAAGGCATTTAAGTATTCCTATGATCATCAGTTAATAAACCATGAAACAGCATATCTCACTTCACCGATCTTCAAGGGTGACATTTGTTCTTCTTCTTCTTGTTTCAACCTTATCCCGACAATGATGTATGATGACTTACACGCGCAAACAAGTTCTCGTCTAGGCCCGGTACGCCCGCAAAGATGCCGTCGGCATATAGCACGCTTAAGTCGACTGCAAAGGACCCTAGCGTAGTGGCGCATCGCTTGTTCTTGTTCTCTGTGGAGGTGATGACGCCGTACGGGAGATTGTAGATAGTGAAAGGACTGTCTGGGTCAGAAGTGAAGGACGCCATCTTTACCAAGTAAGTAGGCAATAATGTAGTGACTTTCAACGCTGCAAGCAAGCAAGGACTTCAAGAATTATTGATCGTGCTACAAAATGCAATAATAGCCAAGAATATGGCGGTAAAACTGGAGAGCTTTGGCTTCATATACACCTAACGATGACACGATATTGAATGAGAGAAAAAAGGTCGTGACTGGGTGAAACCTGGCCATCGGTTAATAACTGAGCTCTCTACCCCTCCTCTCCTTTGACTACATACCGGTGCGGAGACTTACGGGGTTCACGTATGCAGGAGTGGCTGCTTACACGTAATTAATATGCCGAGAAGGTGTAATAAGGGTTCATGATTCCTGTCCAACGTCTCTTCTTGTCGATCATCTCAAGTCTCACTCACTCTACACACGCACACAGAAAAATCCAGAATCTGACTATTTATCCTCCTTCCTTCTTATTTCCAATCCTCCCTAATCATGGCATCCTCGTCATCCACGGGCCAGCTCTCGCCACTAAGTGCGCAGAAGCGCTTCATCACCACGCACGACTCGGAAGCCAAGGCCGTCGTGCAGTCCGCAGACGCCTTCCAGTGGCAAGCCCTCGACGGCGACAAGATGGCCTTCAGCGTCGTCTACACAACCTCCCAATTCCCCGCCGACCTGAACAACGAGGCCGACATCACCGCCCACAACGCCGTCATGAAAAAGGGCCCCGGCCTCGTCAACCCGGGCGGGACGGTCATCCGCTGCGTCGACTTCGCTCCGGGGTACCGCTGCGGCATGCACCGGACGCAGAGTCTAGATTATGGGATCGTGCTAGATGGGGACATTGATATGCTTTTGGACTCGGGCGAGGTGCACCACATGAAGGCGGGCGATGTCGCTGTGCAGAGGGCCACCAACCACCAGTGGCTGAACGCCTCGGACACGAAATGGGCGCGCATGATGTTTGTGCTGCAGGACTGCCAGGCGCTCGAGGTGGGAGGCAAGACGCTTTCAGAGGACCTGGGAAAGGATTTGAATTTTCTTCCGCCCAGCCGCCAGTAGCTTGTGAGACTGTTCACTCATTGCTATGAAGAGAGGGCTGGGTAACTTCAGCATCGTTTGCTCATCAGAACTTGACAGGACACTGGTGCAAGTCTTACGAAGTTTAAGTATGTTTTCAGGTCTGATGAGCACTGCTCGTCATTTGATGTGGTTCATCTGGTGAACTATCAAGAAGGACACAATCTGGACTACTAGAAATCAGCCAGTCTGTTTTCAAAGGGCGCTTGCTCTGAGAGGGACTTAGGAAGCGGAGTAATTAATTGTGCTCGTGCAACTCGCTATCTTAGGAGGTCATATTCCAAATCATTGGTCTCCATTTTCCAATACGCAGTTCTCACAGACCCCTTTGAATCTCTGAGAAACCTCGGCTTTAGAAAATATCCTTCAAATGGCTTCTGGATAACACTCGAGCAGTTAAGGGTATGTTTTGAGGATTCCAGACTTAAGCACAAATAATACGTCTCGCTGGCAAATTACACTGGTTCTACTAGCCATGCTTACCGTTCCGCTATCACACCAGCTGCATGGAAAGACTGATTTAAAAAAAAAAAAACCGTCAAACTTTGATCCACACCTTGCAACCACACTCGTTTATCCTGCCCTTCTCCTTCTCCTCCTCTCTTCGACGGTTCAAATTCTCCATATCAGACGAGGAAAACCTTCTAATGTCTCCTGAGATGGTCCTGGAGTGTAACCTCTCAAGAAAGACCTCCGTCATTGTGCTTTGATGTCGTTTCACGAAATGGGTCAGCTCGAGCCCACCGAGCTGAAAGTTGCCGAGGCGGAGTGTTTCCAAGTGGGCGATGTGGACATCGGGCTGAAAGACCATACCAAAGGGCACCGGTATGTGCTTCTCGTGCCAGCTTCCCTTCATGCTGGAGGTGACATCGTTCAACTGGTCCAGCATGATGTGTTTAAGACTGGGCATCTTCTCCAGCACCCTCCACAGTTTCTGCCAGGCCATGAGCCCGGTCAGCATGGGGACGGTACTGACGGCCTTCCTCCAGCGGCGCTCGGCGGGTCCTCGCTGCCACAGCTTGAGCGTGAAGTTGGTCACCTCCTGTAAACATGGAGCACCAAGGCCATACTTGCGCCGCGTGAGCACATGGATCATGAAATTGTCCACGTTGATGATAGCGAGACTTTTGAGGCGAAACGAGCACCACCTCAAAGCCTTGAGGAAACTCACGATGCACCTCTCGGGATTCCGCTCTGGGTGCATAAAGCCGTAGACAGGAAATGTGAGCCTGACACACGGACAGGGCGGTTCGCGGGAGGAACGTAGGCCTTGAGAAGCGACCCACGTCTCTCCGCGCTGTCGCCAATACTCAAACGGCCCGTCATTTGGTATCGTCTCGCGGCTATTCCCTGGCGGACCGAGTGTGACGTCCTTCAGGGCGATCAGCTTGGGGAGGCAGGCCATGAACAAGTCGTAATCACGACCTGTTCTCACGATCTCGGACTGCTCTGTAACAAAATGGAGAAGTTTGGCGTATTTAGTGCAAATCGGCTCTGCCTTGTCCAGCGGACTCGCCGATATCGTGCTCGGCGCCTGATCACTGCTCTGCATGATGCTCATTGCAGGTGGTCTACTCATGGTGATTTGTATCGCACGGGTGTCGAAGACCACAGACTGGACGTAGCGTGCAAATACTGGGTGATTACAGACTGCTTCGAATTTGCGGAAGCTCTCTCCGTTGACGTAGAGCTTAATATCTGTGTGAAAAGAACGTTATGTGAGCTAACTTCTCTCCATCCAGTGACGCGGTCATTCTTGTTGTGGAAGCAAGAGGGAGGGAGGGCAATAGAGGGGCACCAGAACAAACGTCGGAACAGCGTGCGTGCGCCAACATCGGCGAAGTCCCACTTGACCAGGCGGATGGACCTCTTGTCTTGGAGGGGTAGCGAGGAGCAGATCTCCTCCAGGGTCTCGATGGGCAAGTCGAGCAGTGTTGGCCTTGCCAGCTCCGACGAGATGGTCTCTCCCTGTTCGGAGGAGGCCAGGGCGGGTGTGGCCATATTGTGTTTGTATGGGTATTGCTTTGGAAACAAATGAATGTGCTAGAGTGTATATCCTGTAGAAAGGTTCGATGAATTATACAAATCAATATTGTATATGTATAGGATTCCAAAAACTGAACAACCTCCCGGGCCAGGAGGTGACGGATTTTGATGTTGGTTAGCACGAGAGGAAGGGAAGTTGGTGTGCGAATTAAGTTGCTGTTCGATACAAATAAATTACCACAATACACAGTTTTTTATGGAAAGATTTTGGCAGGTAGATTCTTTGGAGTTTTTATGTCATTTTTTCATTATTGAACAGTCGAGGACGTACTTGATGTTGCCCTAGAGATATTGGGCTGATGAGTAGCGGCAGCCTGTAAGTACTTCATATAACTAACGAGCCCTTAGTTCTTAGTCTTGAATCTACTTTCCAATAAGACCAGCGAGCTTTGACTACTAATCGCCAAGTAGCCGATGAGTTATCTTAGCCCTTTCAGAGTGTGAAGATCGTCTGTCAGTAAGAAGGTACTCCGTCGCACCTTTCAGCCAAGATGATCCAAGCCCTCCAAAATTAATCTAAAGTCATGTGAAGTGACTCATTCTCACCATTTTTTTTCTTCTTTTCTTTTTTGTCTTATTTCTCTTCTTTCCTTCCCTTCTCCTTCTTCCTCCTGCCATAATTAAGTAGACAGACAGGCGACGTTGTTGGCCATTCTCACATCATCTCTGTTCTTTGGCTGACAGGAAGTTCCGTAGGCTGCACATACAACTCCCCAGAGTACGGGGGCTTCGAGGGGTCCGCCATATACACAGGGGCGCGGTTTGTGGAATATTCCTGCTGCACATATGGCGCAGAAGCTCTCTTGCGCCGCAGGAGCAAGAAGACCAACGCCCCGAGCGACGCGATAAGGGCAGCCCCCAGCGCCCCGCCGACTGCACCGCCCACCACCGCCGTCTTGTCTGCCGGACAGTTGGCGACCTCGGATGTGCCGTTGGTGCTCGAGCTCGACGTGGTGGCCGCCGCGCCACCTGCCACGGCGGTGATGGTGACTGTCGACGCCGCGGTGCCGCTGCCCACCGTCGCGGTGGCCGTGGCCAGGAGGAGGGTCCCGATGTCTGTCGTGATGACGGCCGAGCTGTTGCTGCAGCAGTTGGTCGTCATGTCTGTGTCTGGGCGGCAGCAGTACACGCCTTTTCCACACTGGAGGACGTTCCATGCTTGTACAGAGGAGCCTCCATCCCAGTTTGAAGTTGCTATGGGTTTCATCATCAACATACATTGAGCAGCAAGACCGGTCTGGGGTGTTCGGGTGTGGAAAGGAGAGACAACAACAAGAAGAAGAACAAGGGTGGAAAGAGAGAGAATAAACAAGCACTTACCATCGGGGCAGATATGAGGACAGTCAGAAGACAGGCCGGTCTTGTCGGTGCAGCCGTTCATGTAGATGAGCCCTCTGTAGCCTTCCATCTGTGCATAGCACAACCCTGACGACATGCAGATATCCGACGACGCACCCTTGTTGTTGGCACAGCAGGCGCTGACCTCTGCGCTGGCGTTACATGGCTGGTATGAACTGTCTGTGGCATCACTGCCGTCGAGGTTATAACACGCCGCGCGTACGCCTGCAGGGCCGAAGAGGAGGAGGAGGAGGAGGAGGAGGAAGAGGGAGACAAGTAGGCTCGCGGGAGCCAAGGAGAGGCTTCTTGGGCGCATTGTCGATCAATGCGCGAGGAGAAAGGGTATGTCACAAAGGGAAGAGGGGAGTAAGATAGATAGATCTTCAATAGAGCAAGGCTAGGTATGGCAGACCACTTCTTTCCCACCTTCCGGCGCCAGACGCATATACATATGACAAACAAATGGAAAAAAAGAAATAAAAAAGACAAGATGAAACCCGATGAGCAGCGAAGGATGACAATGTGAAGTATAGATTTGGCCCCCAGCGACGCAGCGGACCATTAAAGTATACAAGCCGCGTGCTAGTATGCATGTCAGCAAAAGAGGGAGAAGAAAAGACAAAAGAGAGCCTCCAGCCGCATTATGGCTTCTTAAAAAGTGATCCTCCGCTTCAGCTGGCTCGAACCACCAAAGCACAAATTGGCTGTCTCCTGTGCCAAGGGTTTTACCCTGCTCCTTCGCACTCCCGGCAAGGCTCGCGAGTGGTCAACTCGGAGCTGGGGGAGAGAGAGAAAGAGTCTCCATAGTAAGCAGTAACTAACGATGCACGTTCATCAAATATAGAGCATAGTATGTAGTACAAGAGGCGAGGAGCGTAACACTGCAGGCGTTAACGTATCCTCAGATGATAATCCTCTACGCAGCACCTTCTGATCTTACAGTTCTGATTTCGACGAGCACAGCCCTGTGTATGGGTGAAGAAGAGTGCTCAGAAGAGCGAAATTCCCATACTTTTTCTTCCCTCTTAAGCGAGCACCACAAGGTGGAGCCCAAGTTGGGGTTACACAACATTAAAGTTAAGGATCAAGGTTGTTTTACTTTGATAAATTATTGGCTGGGGAGCGGGTGGATTTGAAGAACCATACAACAGCACATCAACTAAGAGGATGATAGGAAAGCCATGTTCGCTCCCTAAGCGCCGAACCAGAAGTCTAGACTGCACATTGTCCACAACCACTACCCAGATTCCCGGAGCCGCGCTGGTAGGGCTGGCTTGAGCTTGAAAACCCGACCCGTTCACACCCTCTTCTTCTCTATGTATTTCCTGATCTACATCTTGAAGTCTAGACTGTGTGCCTCAAACATACCGCAATGGAAAGCAGGACAGAGGTTCCGGTTCCCCCTATTAAGAAGCTGAAAAGTCTCAGATTTATGCGGTGCAAGTAGCTGGGGCAAGGTGGAACCTTGAATGTGTCAAGGTGACCCGGAGAATTGACTACCCTCGTCAGGCTGCCTCAACAACTGAAAGAGGGCCATGAGGTGGTCATCCTGGCCTCTCAGCAACCTCACTCAGCTCAAGATTCCCCCCACGGATCGAGGACCCCACCCAGGTGTCTCCTTGGCTACACACATACACACAGAGGCAGGGTCGGCCCCCCAGTCAGCAAGCAGCGCATGTCATGTCATCAGACCAAATACTTGTCAACGTAGAGCAGATGAGTTCTATGTAGTGGAAAGGGCCGTCCGAGTGACGTCCCCCTTTAAACGCACTTTTCTCTTTTTCCCTTTCTGTTTTTGATATCTCCCAAACCCAAAAACGCCCGACCGTATGCCAAAAGGGCCCTCCTTTACTTCTCAAGAGCCGAAGCGGGAAGGGTGGCCACCTTCTCCTTGAACAGCTTGTCAGCACCCGCCCAGACGGGGTCGGTTCGCCAGTCCTTGAGCTTCAGCAGGTGTGGCAGCAGGTCGTTGCTGAACGCCTCGCTGGCCTCTCTCGGCAGCAGCGAAGGCAGGTGGTCGATGCTGATGACGGACAGCGTCGGGCCCTGCTCCAGCTCCACGGGCACGGTGGGCTTGTCGAACGTCGTGGCAATGTTGTAGATCGGCACAGGGTTGAAGGGGTTGGTCGTGTCGGCAGAGACATCGCACACGACGGAGAGCTTGCGGTCTGCGCCGGCGGCCTTGAGCGAGTCGGTGTTGACAAAGTGAGGGATCTTGGACGCCAGGTAGATGCAGTTGACGAAGATGTCGCTGTCGGTGATCTCCTGGAAAGGGCCGCCCTTGGCAGTCTCCGCCATATCCCACTTGACAATATTCTCGTCTGGCACGCCCGCACGCAGACACATGTCGACTGCTCCCTTACCACAGCGGCCTATAGACATGGCACCAGTTAGCATCCATCTGCTCACAGCAGTCACCACGAGGTCGGTCAGAGAAACAAATTCTGGCTACTACTTACCAAGCGCACCGATGACAATGACCCGTGGCAGCCGGCCCACCTTCTTCTCTCCTTCAGCCAGAGCCTTCTTGACATCCGCAATCAACTCGTTCTCGTTAGGATACGAGGACACGCTCGGGAGTGCCTCGGAGGCGGGGTGCGTCAGCTGCCACGCCCAGTTCTCCAGCGCGAGCGCAGCACCGGCGAAGCCAGCATGGTATCTGTATGGGTGCCCCCGTGTCAGCCTACTATTGCAAAGCAAGATGTGTATTCATTCCGATCTGGGTCCTTACCCAAAAGCAGCTACCCTCCTCCCCGTTGTGGGATCCGCGAGAAACTCCAGGTCCAGAAGCGTGCCGCCACCCCGGGGAAACCTCGCCAGTACCGTGTCCCAGCTTTCCTGGCCCTTGTAGCAGTGTGCAAACTGCACGTGAACGTGCTTGAGCGGGAAGCTCTCCTCGCGCAGCTCCTTCAGGCCGACGATGATGTGGTCGGCGGGCGCATCAACCCATGACTCCTCCTCGACAATCTTTGCGCCAGCGGCCTCGAATTCGGCGTCGTCGAAGATGCGCGTCGTGCCGGACTTCTTACCACAGCCCTTCTCGACATGGACTTCGTACCCGGCATCGATGAGGGCCTTGGTGGTAGACGGGGTGAGCGCAGAGCGGTGCTCGAGGGACTTAGTCTCGGCGCGGAGGTGAAGCACGGTGGGTGCCATCTTGAATTGTCTTGAATCGAGGAAGAAATTAGAAGCTGGAGGCGGAGGTTGATTTTCTGTGATCAATTGCTTGGTTCAGAGGCTGAGGAACCAGATTTATGGCAAGTGAAAAGGAATTGGAACAGTGCTTCCAAGCTTAGGAGCAGCTTATGAAAATGTATCGAACGATTGACTCATTCCCTAACCCAGTCCAAGATCGCAGCTATGAGATCAGAGGCTGCGCGCACACAGCAGGTTCGACTCAGAGCTGGCTACCCCTCCAGAAAAATTCCCCACCGCCCTCCGATAACCGGGCAAGAGCACCAGGAGGGGGACAATCATAGCTAACACAGGAACACTGACCACCAGCACTATCAAGCTCCCCTGGCAGCCCACTAATCTAGAACCAATTTAGCGGAAAGGCCCTCAATCTCAGGGGTCCTCAACTACCACAATAACAGCCAACGGGGCCTCTTCTACTAAACTGTACAACACTTACATGGTACTGTATGTACCATTAGTATTGGGGTATCTTTCCGCTTGCTCAGGGTCCCCCTCTGCCACCGCCCCAGCCCCACGATTTCCCGGACCCCAGCTGGAGGAGCTCCTTTCTCCCCAGCCAATGCCCTTGGCGATCTTAGAACTTTCTTCCTCCTGCATCGTGAGCTGGCCGCTGGAGCTTGAAGCAAGAGAACTGAGTGAGCATTGGCTGCTTTTTTGAATTCTCCCCAAATAAATCGGACCCATCGTTCCCACCGTCAGCCAGTTTTGTGATCATATCCGATCTCAGCCTTATACACAGGCACCGCAGACGCTCAAACCCCACTGGCCTGTTTTATATACGTTTTCCTTTCTGCATCATGGGCATCTTCGACGACACCGCCTCTGTCATCTCCCGCAAATCCTCCCACCACCACCACTCCTCGAGCCGCTCCAAGGACAAGGACAAGCACAAGCGCAGCAGCCTGTACTCCATCTCGAGCCACAAATCTCGCTCGCGGTCCCGGTCCCCGGGCGGCAAGTCCATCGCCGCCTCCATCTTCGGCCTCGGCGAGGACGAGGAGCGCAGCAGACACCGTAGCTCGCGCCACGGTACTTCGAGCCGGGCGGGCGGCTTCTTTGGCTTGCCCAACGTCTCGACTAGGAGCTTCTTTGGCGGAGGTATGTCAATATTGTTTTTGATTATTATCATAACTCTGTGCCTTATTGTGTGTGTATGCGTGTGACGGGGCCCCATCTGTTTCATGGGCGAGGAGGTCCCCCCCCCCCCCCCCGAAAAAAAGGAAAAGACAAAAGAAAAAGAAGAAACAATATTGGCAACGAAGAAACGTAAATTTTTAATACAAATTGAACAATTGAACTAATAATCGCCCGCCTCCTTCCCAAAAGACAAACACCGCTCCTCGACCTCGTCTTACCGGCGGTCCCCGCGCCCCAGCTTCTTCACCCGTGCCTACAAGCAGCTCAAGCGCCTCCTGCGCGACCTGGTCTACTATGCCAAGCGCCACCCGGTCAAGGTCTTCACCCTCGTCGTCCTGCCCCTCATCACCGGCGGCGCCCTCACCGCTCTCCTAGCCCGCTTCGGCCTGCGCCTGCCTAACGGGCTCGAGCGCATGCTGGGCATGGGTGCCCGCGCCATGAGCGGAGACAGCATTGGCCTCGTTGGCGAAGCCGTGCGCATGGCGAGCGGCATGGGCGGCAGGGAGGGGAGCGTCAGGGTGGAGAGAAACAGCTGGGAGAGGGACATTGGTGGTGGCTTTGGTGGTGGTGGTGGAAGCTGGGGTGGAGGCATGATGAAGAGCGTGAGGGAGTTCTTTGATTGAGGAACCACGCCCTTTCTTGACGTTTGCGTTTTCCTCATGCCTGCTTTTTCCCCCTTTTCCTTTACTTCAAACTTCCTCCTTTCTTTGGAAAAAGGACGATGATCATGATGAATGATATGACGATGATAAATAGGCCGAAAAAGAGGGGGCCACTTGGGATATATATACTCTTCAGATACTACGTTCATACAATAGATTTTTTTTCCTTTCTGACATCACTCACCAACTCAAAAAATACTTCACAGCGAGTAACAGACTTATTTGTAAGGAAAATTAACATTGCAATTAATATACTTGTTTCCGTTCTATGAATTGTTTCAATCAACAAGTCCCGTCACTACTGAATGCTCAATATACCCATTCTCCCACAAAACCTCCATCCAGGTCAAAATTGAGGCGGACATGAGAGGCCCCAGGGTATCGTGAAAAGAAAAAGAGGAGAGAAGACGACGACTTTGACAACTCAAATCACTTGTTGCTCTTCTTCCTGCGGTTCCCCCCAGATCTTCGCTTGGGAGAGGCTTTAGGGGAGGCCCTCGGAGAGGGTGCACTGGAGGCGATTTTCTTGGATCTTGTCACCCGCGGTTCAGGAGTTGGTTCAGGCGCCACCTCCACAATGATATGTTCTCGTCCGTTCGTAGCCGGTCCGGCGTTGGTGCTCCCAATGCGTGCGCCCTCGTCCACCTCGTCGCTCGTGTCATCCTCACTATCATCCTCTTCGCTGGACGACTCATCGTCAACATCCGGGGTGAAGTGTCGAGATTGGCGACGGGAAGCACTACCACCCCCACGATAGAAGGGTTTGGGGTAGGCTTGTCCCGCTGCTGATGATCCCGAGACGTTTCGAAGAGAAGATGCCGAGACAGCGTGGTGGGGAACTTGTGCGGCCGAGGTCATGTAGCGGAATGGGTCCAACGAGGCAGGAACAGAGGGCATAGATGCGGACGGGTTGTATTGAGACATCCGTGGGTCTTCGTAAGGACCAGTGCCACGGGAAGAACGAGGTCGCAGAGCTGGGTCGGAGGTGTGTCGTGGATTTGAGACCGGAATAGGGTGCTGCACATAATTATACTGGAAAGGAGATAGGCTTCCCTCGCGGTCCGAAGCTGCTGAAGCTCTGCTGTGACGCCGGCGAGAGTCGGACGTTCCAGGTCGAGAAGAAGAAGGATGGGCGAACCAGCCCACAGGTGGCTGGCTGTTCAGTCTGTCGAGCGGTTCGACCGAAGGCACACCTCCAGCAGCCCCCGGCTGGTGGCCCTCCTTATGCGAGATTGGGGCGAGCTGCGAGAGGGGCACTGCGTAACGTGGCTCCCGCTTCTTTTTCCTGCCCGCATCGCCTTCAGCTTGCATGCGCTTTCTCCGGAACTCCAACGCAGCCAGCTCGTTCCTGCTCAGCCTGACGTCCTTCTTGCCGCTAGCTTGCGCCCGTCGGATGCGCTTCATGGCAGAGTCAACCAGCGCATCCTCTTCCTCTCGTGTAAACTGCGGATTGCCCTCCTCGTCCAGCACCGTGTCTTGGTCTGAGTCGCCCGAAGAGTCTTGGTCCTCGGATTCTTCGTAAGCATGAGCCCTGCGGGGTCGCGCCATATTCTCCCCCATATCTATTCCCGTAAAGCGAAGGGGATCGCTCGAGAAACGTGCACCTCTTGTAGAAATCAAGCCCGCGCCTTGTGTATCTGAATCATCATCGTCATCACTGTCCAGCTCCTCCACCAGCCTCCGACCAGCCCCGTCACCCCAGAAAGCCTCTTCATAGCCCGCCACCATATTGTCCCTTTGCCCTCGCCTCGATGGTCTTCCCCATTGGGGCGCACGTTTGGGAGCTCGCGGCCGACCACTTAGACCGCCTCCCCGGAAAAAGCCTCCTCGAGTGGCTTGTCCATCATAGCAGCATGACCAAGAATGACCACGCCGCTGGCGCCGATCAGCCACATGACGGTGGTGATGGGTGAGGCAAAGAGACCGATCGGGATAGCAATGACATAGAGACCTGTGTAGAGCTGGGAGGTGGTGACGCGGGTCTGGCCGATCTCGAGGTCCTGACCATTGAGCTTGCCGATGAGGTACATGCCCGCAACGACGAAGACGATGTCGAACAGAAGCCAGGGGTTGGTGAGGAGGGAGTAGATGCAGAGCATCACAAAGATGATGGCATAGTTGCTGGAGAAGTGGCCCAGGTTGTAGTTGACGCGGGACTGGGCCTCAGCGAAGTTCGCAGGCTTCGACAGCCGCTTGATGTCCAGAAACTCGGAAACAGGCCGGAGGTTCGCGAATCGGTTCGAGAGAGAGGTCGAGCGGATGCTCTGAAAGCGGTCGCTCAGGTTGATGCGGGACGTCAGAGCGTCGAGGGGAATTTGAATGCGTGACATGTTTGCGGTATGGGAAGAACGATGCCAGGAGGAAGAGAGAAAGACTATCGGTCAACAGACCACGAGGCGACACCAACTCAAAAATAAAAATAAAAATCCTGTTGAAAGGAACCAGAGCCGGTAATAACCAGCTGGCGCCAATAGTATGCTTTCAAAAAAGAAAGATGGACGAGAGGCTGTGTCGGGGCCTCTCTCTTATGGACAAGAAGTCGACAAAACGACCGAGTCGACAGACGGGAAAGTCGATGAGCGAAGGGAGAAGAAGGCAAAGTTTGAGGGAGCGCAGCGGCCAAAAAGGACCTTAAAAAGCTGAAAGAGGCGCTAGAGGTGATCTGAACGGCGTGTGCTGACCTGTTGATTGGGGCTCGGTTGGGCAAGTGCAGGTAACATGCAGGTTTGTCGAGGACAGAAAACCAAGAATCTCTGTTCTCTCACAAGGTTGGCGAGCCAGTTTTGCAGGGGCAGCAGGAAAGCAGAGTGATTAGCTTCGGCACAGTGCCGTGAGTGTACGTGGCCCCTGTTGTTTGGCAGGTGAAAGGCGAAGTAAATTGGGAAGCAAGCTAAAACGGGGGGCATGATACGCCACCACCCCTGATTTCTTAGTCATCTGCTAGGAGACTACAGTACGGGTACCTTCTGTAGAGTAGTACCTTCTGTACAGTGGCACGTACTCCATGGCGGTGGATTCCAAACGGGTTTTGTAGTAAAAGATGTTCATCTCCCGTTCATGGCTCCTGAATACTGTCTCGAAATTCTACACAACCTGATGTGGAGATGTGTTCATTGCCTCTTGAATGAATCTACATCCATCCAGATTATGCTGCATTCTTCCTCCTCCTTGTTGGGACCTCTTGCAGTCGGGAATCAAGTCTCTGCCCAACATGACTGTCGGGCTTCGTAAGTGATTGTCTATCAGTTGGTCAGCCCGGCGTGTGTAAGAATAGGGCCATGGGCCACCCTGTCCTCCCCGTCCGTGGACTTATTATATGATACCTGCTGCCAGTGCATACCTAGCGTGGTGCTCGGCCACCGTCGTCCCCCGGGCAAAGCGGTGATGACCTTGCTTCAAGGCGGTTACCCCTCAGGAGCTGTACCGAGCAAGCATATATCTGCAGGCTTCATTGAGTCAATTGAACAGGATCGAAGCACTGAGAACAGTCTCTCTGGGGTGTCTTCCTCTACTATAATACAGTGTCCTCGATCCTGCAGTATTGGACAGAAATTACGTGATCCGTCAGACCCCATGTTCTTCTATACTTGTTCAAATACCCTCAACGGTCTGTTTTCTCTTCCCCTCGTTCTATGCGAAAAGAAGCAAGCAAGTCGATGAAAAGGAGGAACATGTACCTGCCGCAGTGTGAACCGGGACTTACAGTACTAAGAAGTTGGTGTGCGGGCGATCACAACCTGACGGGTAAAAATAGGGGTGTGGTGTGTGTATTACTTTGCCGACCTTGGGATAGGCTTACACCGTGCCACGTGTGGCTGCCCAATGGCTCCCGCATAAAGTAATCTGCCTGGTCATATTCTAAGCACTGCCATCTCGAGAAGTAGGATGTATCTTGAGGCCAGGAAACAGAGAGACAAAAATATCATCAAGAAAAGGATAGAAAGAGTAAGCCAATGGATGCAAACCGATCTGTGTTGTTCTCGTTCTTTGCTTCATTTGTCTCTCTACTCAAGGCTTTGTCTAGTCTGTTTCTGATGTTCCATTCAGGGTCCTTCCGGGGGCTTGTGGAGAAGGGAGGTCTAGGCCTCAGATCGTGCCTGTCCTAAGTGAGACAAGAAAAAAAGTTGGCCGTTCATAGGTACAACTTAGCTGCTCCTTTGGACGCCCCTCCCCATTCCTACCATCCAGCAAAGGAGTTTTGCAGAAGGACATTTCTTCAATTCTGTGTGCTCCTGCAATGCAGGTCCACATCAATTTAATAATTTATTTTTTTTCCTCTTTCATTTTTGGCCACTGCTACAATTATAGCTGCATACACTCTTCGGTCCTGTTCTTTCGGAGCCAAGCTCCGTCCGTGCCTGGTGGCGACCACGTATCCACTGAACAGCTGGCCCTTTGTTGCTGGTGAACATACAAGAGCTCCAAGATTCAACAAGGCGGATTTCTGCCAGTTCCTCCAGGCCCACGATAATCATCTTGGATTGATGATGCGACCATGAAGTTCTCGGTACTCTCTCTTGGCCTGCTGGCCGTTCTCAGCCCTCTGACGGCTGCTTGGTCCAAGGATGGTAGGTCGACACGGAATCTTTCCTCAACATGGCCGGACTGGATCCATCTTCTGACACTGTGCCTCTCCAGATCGCGAGATCTTCCGCGTTCGTGACGAGCTCGCCCAGTTCGAAGGACCCGATGTGACCTTCTACGACTTCCTCGGCGTGACCCCCTCTGCCAGCCAGGACGACATCAACAAGGCCTACCGCAAGAAGTCCCGCTTGCTACACCCTGACAAGGTTAAGCAGCAGCTCACGGCCGAGCGCACCAAGGCAAAGAAGGATGCGAAAAAGAACAAGAAGGCTGGCGTCACTGTGGCCAAGGCCCCCTCTCAGTCCGAGATCAAAACTGCCGTCAAGGAAGCTTCCGACCGCCAGGCCCGTCTGTCCATCGTCGCCAACATCCTGCGCGGACCGGGCAGAGAACGATATGACCACTTCATGGCAAACGGCTTTCCCGTGTGGAAGGGCACCGGCTACTACTACAACCGCTACCGGCCCGGGCTGGGCACTGTTATGACTGGTGTATTCCTTGCGCTGGGTGGTGGTGCCCACTACATTGCGCTGTACATGGGCTGGAAGCGCCAGCGGGACTTTGTCGAGAGGTACATCAAGTTTGCGCGGCACGCCGCCTGGGGTGATAACCTGGGGATCAACATGCCAGGCCTGGACGCTGGTGCACCTGTAGGCACTGCGGCCCCGCCTATGCCTGAGGAGGACCCCAGGGCTATGCCTACAAACCGCCGGATGCGGCGCATGCAGGAGCGCGAGAACAAGAAGGAGAGCAGCCAGGAGAGGGGTGGCAGCAATGTCCGCCGGAAGCTGGCCGCACGCGCTGCGCAGGGCTCGGGGACTGCGACGCCTGTCCCTGCTGAAGGCGGCCCTCAGGGCGCCAAGAAGCGTGTCGTTGCGGAAAACGGCAAGATTCTGGTAGTCGACTCGCTGGGTGATGTGTACCTCGAGCAGGAGGACGAGGACGGCAACGTGGAACTCTTCCTGCTTGATGTAAGTATATCTCGTGCCCTCGCGCTTCTTTTGATTGCTGAGGAATATGGCTGACTCTCCGCTTGTCTCAACAGCCCAACGAGATTGGCAAGCCCACTATAAATGACACCGCCCTCGTACGCATGCCTATCTGGTTTTACGGCCTGACTGTCGGTCGCATCCTCAACAAGAAGAATCCCAACACAGAGGACGACGTCGAGGGCGAGGAAGAGGATATCATTGCCGCGGATACGGACTCGTCGGGTGCAGGGGGCAAGCACACTCCGAGCACGGGCTCAGTGGACGACGACTTCGAGCTGCTCGACAAGTCGATGGAGGATGTCTCCGCGACCACCGCCACCAAGACGACCGGCAGCCAGCCGCAGCCTACCAAGAACAACAACAACAAACGTAAGAGCAAGGGCAAGAAGAAGTGAACCCTTTTTGCTTGGTTGTCCATCAAGACGCTCGTCGTAATCGGAAGGTCTGCGGAGTTTTACCGTCTGGCTGGCTGGGGGCGTAGGTGGGGAGGGGGGGGTGTCCTTGATTCATTTTTCCTTTGGGTACTTAAGTAGAAAAGAATGTTAAAAAAAGGAAGAGGAATGCATGCAGCAAAGGTGTGCAAGTAGGATATATACACAACAGGCAGATTGAGAGGGAAAAGAGCGAGAGAGATGGTCGAGATGCTGCGCTCAGCTTGAATAGATGGCTGCTTGCATTGTTCACACACAACGTTTCCCAGGTACTATGGACCCAGATTCTTTTGGTGACCTTTAGCCTGGCCTACCAAAATCACTACAGCACCCATAGTGATCTTGATTTTGGACCTGCTTTTACAGCTGTAAAGACTTGACAGACAGATTTGACCAAGTCAAGATTAAAATGACCACCTATAGTACAAGGTGGCAGTACTATCACGTGTTTATTTATTGGTTTCCCCCCCTTGACAGCTGAGTTGACAACCCATCACCATGGCTGAGCACGGCGAACACATCCAAAGGCTATTGAAGAATTAGAGATGCGTGTATTGAAAAGAAGATTACAATATCCCTGGCCTGACGCCGTTGTCCCTTTTCCCTTCAAGGCCAAGGGGTAAACTCATATGGTGAATGTGCTATAGTATGCCAACGCCTTAATCCTTATGCCGTGCGTCTGTTTTCCCGTAACATCTCGACCAGACCAGACAGACCAGACCAGACCAGACCAGACCGCCCCAAATTTCGAGATGGCACTTTGCCATGACGCAGGTCTGTCTTGTCTGTTATATAGTGGATAATCCGTCCCCGATGCGCACCCTTTCACCTTGAAAAGATTTGAAATCCCTCAACCAGACAATAAGGCATATGCTCAGGAAGAGAAGAAGAAAAGAAGAAAGAGAGTGTGGAGAACTCATCATTCACAACATCTCCTCGTCATCCCTCCAGCCCCCAACAAAACTCCCGTATTGATTCTCCATCCACTGCTGCCTCTCCCAGTCCAGCATGCCGCCGGAGGCCCTATAAACCGGATCCAGCGCAGGTTTCCTCGCAGCCGGGTCATACTCCCGCCGTGCGAGCTCCTCGTAGCCGGATTGCATGTATGGCTCCATGTACCCGTGGGCGTGGGCAACGGGGTGCCACCTCGAGTCGGACGACTGCACGCTCGACGACGGTGAGTTGGATAGACCGGCATCGACTACTTCGGTTCCATCCAGGCTCATGACGACCTCGGGGGCGGCCACTGGTGGCACGACAGGGTGCTGACTCTGGGTGGCCTCGTCATAGCGCCGCCGTGCTAGGGCCTCCTCCTGCTCGAGAGAAGTGGCGCCACCCCACGATACCAGGCCTAGGTGGTTGTTGATACTGTTGCTACTAATAGTAGGAGGACAGATGGTCCACAACTGGACGAGGCGGGTGCGCTGAGCGTCATCGGCGTGACGGAACAACTCGACCTGGGGCAGGGTGAGAGCCGCAGTATCGACGCCTGCGGAGCGCAGGAGCAATTCCAGGTCGGCGGGGCCAGCAGCGGGCTCGGAGGCCGAGCGCTGCTGCACCATGGGCTCATCATCGTCAACAGCGGCGGGGGTCGGGGCGATATGGGCAGAATGGGTGTAGTGCTGCGAGATGTACACAATCCTGTTGGGATCGGTATGCTCGGGAGCTGATGGTGGCTGGGACTGTGGGGGTGGTGCTGCTGTCGCTGCTGCTGCCGCCGCCAAACTCATGTTCCTAGCGAACAGAGTGGCCAGGTCGTCCTGAACCGCCATCGTGGATCGGTGTGATGGAGTCGGTGGACGAAGGGATGTGACGGGGGGACAAAAGAAGGGTGTGGTCTGAGACATGGCGTCAGTATCGTAAATCAGAGAGATCTGTGTTAGGAGATGTCAAGACTCACAGTATCGCTGACTACGATACTGCACGGCCTGCGTGAGTTGAGGAGGGAGGAGGGAGTTCAAATATTCTGTGATGAGTTCTGACAATCTGGTGATATTTTCTTCTCTGCCTCTCTCTCTCTCTCTCTCGCTCTGTCTCTCTTTTCTAATCTTTCTCCTCCGTCCTTTTCCTGACGTCGAGTCTTGACAACTGATGCTATACGTAGCGTTGAGCGTGTTGTGCGTGTGTGCAAATAGCAGAGCGCGAAGATCTTCTGGTTGGGTACTGCAAATTTTATTTTGCTATGCTATTTAGGTTACTCGAGAGAAAGCTGTGGAAAAGAAAAAGAGAAAAAGAAGTAAAACAAAAGTGATGGCCTGGAGATGACCAGTGAAGGCGTTGGGTTCTCGACGGGGGGGTCGTCGATGATTCACTCCGAGGGGCCGTCTGGTGACCGAGAACGGGATCGTGACGTATGGTTGAGATTAAGCGCCAGCCGGTCAGGGGAAACGTGAGCAATAGCGGTTTGACTATTTGTGGTAGCGTTGCAGATGAAAGGGAGAGCGAGGGAGGGAAACGGAAACACTGAAGCAAGCACCTTGGATGGGCAGTTGAGTGGGTTGTTGTTCAAAAAGGCCACAAAGAAGGGAGGGGGAGGATGGAAGAGGGTGCGCTTAGAGAAAGAAAGGAATTCCCAAGGGCTGTTGCTCTTATATTTTATTTTGATATGTAATTTGACATTGGCGTGATCAGAAGAGGAAAGAGGAGGGGGTGGTTGACGGTAGCTCCCCTCCAGGATCAAGGGGGCAATGACGTCCGCCTGCTCATGTTTCCCCCCTCTTCGTCCCACACGTGCCATGAGCTATGGTAATTATCAGAGTAATTTTGTTTTGCACTCCCACGTCTCTCTGTCTGATCCTGTCTCTCTCACAGGCCCAACCCCCCTCCACCAGGGCCATGCATCGTGGTCATAGTTCTGGATTGGGTCTCAGGCCTTGGGTCGAGGCCCAGATGGCCATTGTTGGGCCTCAAAACGACCCACGCCTGCAGTCTTGGGCATGATTCTGGAAGGGTCATGGTCGAATAAAGACAGGGCCTGAAACGGAGCGCGTGGTATAATCCTCCAATAGCGACGTGCCAGCTGGAGGGGGGTGTGGAGGGGCAATACAGTAAGGTCATAATAGGTTCTGAACAGGCCGAGTTCTGCCCGTTCCAAGTTCCTGCCCATTCACCCGTCCTCCATTCTTCTGTCGAGGTTGCGCAAATCTCGATATGCCTGATCGTCGAGTTTGAGCAACTGGAGGTCTAGTTCTCGGGAATTCGATGTGGGTTCTAGAGATTCAACATATCAGGCCCAACAATATTGAGGTAGGGCCGTTCATGTTTCATCGAGACGACACACCCGACCCCGCTGTAGATGGAGAACTTGCTCAGTAAGTAGTATGCAGTACTATGTGCTACTACCGTCTGCAATGCCACCATACTGTAGCGCTAATTTGGCAGGTACCAACAGCAGCCACAACGGCAGGGATGGCCTGAAAAACGGTGCCCGCCCGGCACTTACGGTCACCCACGAGGCTGGTCCTCCTGACCTTTTATTTTTATCCTGACATTTCTTGAATGAATGCTTTATCCAGCCTTGAGGCCATCTAAATTAAGACCAGGTTCTTGCATGGCCAGAACCATGAACGAGAACAAGGCACGGTCCACTCTAGCGTAGGCCTGAGGCTTGTTTACTACTCTCTGCCAGAATGAAAAGTATCTTGGCTGCTCATAGCATTGGCCGAACGTGTCGTGTCTGTCAGGAGCTGGACAAGACGCTGCGCAAAGCCCAGCCTGAAAATGCCGATCGTAACGTCAAAATCAAAGGTGTTTAGTGAGAGATCCCAGAGATTGAAGGAGAAAGAAGCAGAGAGGAAGGGACGAGAGGAGAGAAAGAAAAGAATCATCAACTTGTTGAGGACTTGCAGTGATTGTATGGCATACTTACTCTCAGGGAGCCAGCGTCTGCTTCAGTAAAAACACGGACCACCAGATCCCCAGTGGCGTAGTTTGGAACTGAGGTACTACCCTACCTGAGTGCCCGCCTACTGTACGTGCCTACTTAAGTAAAGTACGTATGTCGTAGTAGTAGGAGTGGATTGACGTCACAGCAGCACGCTGGCCTCTGAGGCACATGCTTGCGACACCTGGTTTGCATTCATGTTCCGAACAACGTCTCACGTCGTTCCTCTACATCCTCGAGCCCTTTTCTCCTTCTCAGCTTTGAATTCTCTCATTCTCATATTACTCACAACGATCAACCCTAGAAACCACAACCTCAAGATGGCGTCCGGACCCCCACCAAACTACTGTACGCCTGCCCTGCCATACCCCGCCTCTTCCTGGCGTTTCTCACCAGACTGAATCCACAGACTGACCACCAACCACCGTACCTAGATGCCATTCTCGAAATCCAGGAGACAGCGACAACTCAGCAGGTCCGAGATGCCTATAAGCGGTATGCAAAAACACCAGACACCCGGCCTCTCTCCTCGTTCACCATCCCCTCAAAGACTTGGCTCCCTCCCCATGACTGACACAGCAACCTTTTTGCAGCGCCGCCCTGAAGACTCACCCCGACCGCGTGGCCGCCGACTCCCCTGAGCGCCCTGAGCGCACGCGCAAGTTCCAGCTCGTCAACGACGCCTACTTCACCCTGTCCGATACCTCGCGACGCAGGGAATACGACAGTCAGCGCAAGTTCTACGGCAGCTCCTCGACCTCGCAGGCCGGCGCGGGCGGTGACCCCTTCGCGGAGGCCGGGGCTGGTGCTGATGGTGCCGGGGCGAACCAGTCCGCGTTCAGCTGGGCGTGGAACTTCTTCCAGCAGCAGCAGCAGCAGCAGGGGAAGGCGGGTAGCCAGCAGCAGCAGCAACAGACAAGACAGGATGCCGAGGAGCAGCAGTTCGGCGATGTGTTCGAGGAGATGCTCAGGGAGCAAGGGATGGCGGACTCCAACGGAGCGGCGAACGGCCGGTTCTGGGGGATGCTCGGCGGCGCGAGTGGAGGCGCGCTGGGATTCATCATTGCCAACGTCCCTGGTCTATTGGCGGGTGCCGTGGCTGGCAACAGGCTCGGTGCGATCCGTGATGCCAAGGGACAGAGTGTCTATGCCGTTTTCCAGGTGAGTTTGCTGGGCGATGTTCCTCATGGCTCCTCTTTCAGAGAAGGTGTTAACCTTTGATGTGTTGCAGGAGCTACCACAGGGCGACAGGGCGAGACTTCTCAGCCAGCTGGCTGCTAAAGTTTTCAGTCATGCCGTTGGTGTTTAAATTCTCCAACGTATGAATATTACCAGGAAACGACGAGATTTTTGTTTAGCATGGCGTTGAGGGACGAAGTGTGCGTGTGGGAAGGGAGCAGAATCGGCTAGTTTTAATACTATTCAGTCTTCAACTATCCTGAATATATATATTGTATTAACATTCCGACGCTCATATGCAACGAGTCAATTTGTTCATATTGATTGCTCTACAGTACGGATCGAATGGGGAGCTCTTGAACCTCTGTCACAAAGCAATAACTACATATTCCTCTTCATTACAGCTTGTATAAGTAAAAGATATCCCGTGTTTGGGCCAGACATGTTTTTTATGCATGTGCTGCTGCAGCATCTGCTGCATGGTGCACACTCCTAATGATGGCCCCACTCAACCTACATTGATACTACCCGACAACCAAATCAATATGGCCAAAGCTAAATCGGATGCATGGAGGGCCTACTGTACTTGTACTTGGTTTGCAGGGAAAACAATAGGGAGAAGGAACATCTCTACAACTATGGCCTCGTCTTGAATCATTCTTCTCACAGTAAACCAAAAGGTAAGTTTTCCTAATTAAGGGCTCGGGCCAGGCAATTACCGGGATTTGTCACTCCAGTAATTATAATACCGAGTTTCGTGCTTTTTAGCTCTCTTCAAAACAAAGAAACTGCCACTTACAGTCAGCTTCCTTCCTTCTTCGAGCTCAACTCTTTCACTCATGAGACATTGAGTAAGTCAATCGCAGCTCAGACAGCTGCTGCAAACACCATGGCCAGTGACCAAGAGAACGCTGCTGCTGCTGTGTCGGCCACAGAACAGACGCCACTTCTCGTGACCAAAGATGTTGCCCCAGCAGCAGTTCCCGCCGCCGTGTCCACCAGTTCAAATTATACCTCGCCAGTCGATGAGGGGGAGGAGGGGCGGCGGGACGGTCATGATGATGATGATGATGATAATGACCACCACAAGCCTTTGCCCAAGTGGCAGCTCTTCTGGCTGTGCTTTGCGCGAGCCATTGAGCCTATGGCCTTCTTCTCTATCTTCCCTTACATCAACCAGATGGCCCAGGAGAACGGTCACCTTGCCGACGCCGACGTGGGATTCTACTCTGGGCTCATCGAATCGCTCTTCTCCCTCACCCAGGCACTGGTCATGGTCTTCTGGGGTAAGGCTGCCGACAGCATCGGCCGCAAACCCGTCCTCGTCTTCAGCCTCGTTGGTGTCTCGGTCGCGACCTCTATCTTTGGCACGGCCAAGACGCTGGCGCAGATGATCCTCTTCCGCTGCATCGCAGGTGTCTTTGCCGGCACCATCGTCACCATCAGGACTATGATCACCGAGATCTCGTCCCCTCGCGACCAGGCCGTCGCCTTCAGCTGGTTCGCCTTCTCGGGCAACCTCGGCATCCTGCTGGGTCCCATCCTCGGAGGAGCCCTCGCCGACCCGGCCCATCAGTATCCCGGCCTGTTCGGCCACAGCCAATTCTTTCTCGACTATCCGTACGCCCTCTCAAGTTTTGTCATCGCAGGCCTCGGCTTCATAGGCGCCATCACATCCTTCTTCTTCGTCACCGAGACACTGGACAGAGACGACAGCACCACCACCACGACGGAGAATGGCGATAGCGTCGTCAGGCCCAAGGACGAACGGCCCAGCATCCTCAGTCTCCTCAGAGCGCCAGGCGTCCGCATCGTCCTCTACATCTACTGCCACATTATGCTCCTCGCCTTCGCCTACACGGCCATCATCCCCGTCTTCCTCTTCTCGCCCGTGCGCCTGGGCGGCTTCGGCCTCCTTCCTTACCAGATCAGCATCTTTATGGCTACCAACGGCGCCGCCCAGGCCCTCTGGCTCCTCCTGGCCTTCCCGCGCCTGCAACGCCGCCTTGGCACCAACGGCGTCCTCCGCGCCTGCGCCATCGCCTATCCTTTCTTCTTCGCCCTCACCCCAATCGGCAACGTCCTCCTGCGCCACGGCGATGTCGCCGCCTTCTGGACCATCTCGCCCGCGTTTCAGGCCATCGGCTGCGGTGTCAGTATGGCCTTTACCGCCATCCAGCTCGCCCTCAACGACGTCTCGCCCAGCCACCGCGTCCTGGGCACCCTCAACTCGATCGCCCTGGCTGGTACGAGTCTCACACGGGCGTTTGCACCCGCGTTGTTCACGAGTTTGTTCGCTCTGGGAGCGCGGACACAGTGGCTCTGGGGGTATGCCATCTGGTTGTTGCTGACTTTGCTGGCCCTCTGGTACACGTTGATTGCGAGGTGGCTGCCGGAGAAGGGCAAGGACGGCAAGGCCCCAAGGAGAAGAGAGCAAGAAGAAGCTGGAGGGCGGCAAGCGCAAGGCGAGGATTGATGAGAGGTTTCGTTATGCGTGACGGATGCGTAGCCAGGGCTGTAGGCATAGACATTGGGCTTGCAATATCACCGTTGTGCACCGAATAATCCAAAAAAAAAAAAAAAAAAAAAAAAAAAAAAAAAAAAAGTGTAGGACCTTAAGTATATAGAGTTGATGGGAATGATTGTTATTTTATCCAGATTATTGATGACTCTGTCTGCCGGACGCCATTCTCAAATTCCCAAAACCAACATCTTGCTACAGCCACTGTCCCCAACGACGACGTTGCTAGTTCACCACCTAACAGAAGCCTCTGGCCTAATCTGGGGAGAGAGAGAGAGAGAGAGAGTAAAGGTAACTTCTGAAGTCGAAATGCGAGAGCATGTTTTAGCAGAAATTCATCTCAGTTTTAAGTAGACAAGATTACCTTCTACATCCGCGATCAGCAAATTCCAACACCCAGAAGGGGTTGATAATCCCGTTCAGTCGCATGTGAACATATGAATTGATACCCGATGTGGATGATCTGATGAATCATTTTAAGGGCTTGAGAAGCTGCCTTAGTGTCAGCTAATGGAACATCAGTCCCCGTCAGTACTTAGCGACTTGTAGAAATGCATTGGACGAGGGGTTGAGATGAGGCTGAGTGATTACCTACTTACGAGCCCTCCAGATGTCCCTTCTTTGACTACTTGAGTAGTTTGCGAAATTGTTATGAGAATCCCTCGGGACAGGCTTGGTCTGTAGATGTGAATAGTGCCCCGATCAGGAATAACTCGCCAAGCTGCATATGGTGGCTATTTCGTCTTCAGGCCAACCGCCCCTCCAGAGACTTGGATAGAACAGCGACATCAAGATAGTCCCGCTTACCTGTGACTTTGATCATCTGTATAGAGTTTTCATATGCCAGAGTAAGCTTGCGTAATTGTTCATATTTAGTGTCTCCCCTCCAGCAGTCGAGCGGCTGTGTGCTCTTCTCTTAACCAACATTCTACCCTGGGTAGAGCTAGCAGAACATACTACATCGCTGCTCTTCTTTGGCCCATCCACTTCTCCGTTTATTATTCTTGAAAATTCATGTCTCGTTTCTCTTGATGCACAATGTACCGCAAGTGACATCGCATCTCATCAAGGTGCAAAGGTATACAAGGGATGGCGAAGGGAAAAGGGAGGGGGAAAGAAGAACCATGAAACATGTAGATAAATGCATAGATTTACGTACAAATATGTAAACCTAGGCTCATGTTGGCAACGAATACCGCCAAACAAGGCTCGCGCCCTCGATCGCCAGCAATTTGCACCCTCCCTCGGACATCACCAGCTTCCGCACTTTATTCGACGTCTGTAGCGGCATATTCCTATCCTCCTCCTCCCCTCCCACCTCAGTCATTCGTTTCCGTTTTCGTAATGGGCACGAGTTCGTTGCGGGATCCGCCAAGCCCAGCTCCAGCCCGGTCTCCATTGCGCGTCTAAAGGACCGTCGGAAGCGCACCCAGTCGTCGTTAGTCGGTACAAGTTTCCCCGCGCGATTTGATGCCCCTGCATCTTTTCTTGGGCGAGCAGCGTCGATGCCGTTGTCATCATCATCCGCTACAGGAGAGGCGTAGTAGGCGATGTCATTGGCATGCGGGAGCCACGGTTTCTCGGCCGTCCACGGGACGCGGTAAAAGTGCCCTTTACTGCTACCCCTGTGACCATCTATCAGATAAAAGGCAGGGTCCAAGGGACCTGAAGGGGATGTTGGTGTTTGTGATCTTCGAGGGGTGGCAGGGGGTGTCGATGGTCTGCAGTCTCTGTTGCCGTGCAAGACCCTCGGCGGGGGTAGCCTCGAGCCCACCTCGTATACCGTTGCGTTCCGCGCCAGGTCTCCATCTGCATTGGACGCCGACCGCCCTAGTATGGAGCCGATGGCCTTTGGCGAGGGCATCTCAGATACCTCGAATTGCATCTCTTGGTGTACCATGAACACGAGCCGCTCCAACACCGGGAATGCGCCCAGACGTTGGAGGAACTTTCCCATGTTGCCCCTCGTCAGCTTCTTCCAACCCAGTACAGGATGCCACACGCCGGTGTGCACGCCAAAGGACGTCCCAAACGCCAGGCTCTGCAGGTTGTCCTTGATCAGCGGGATCTGGCTCATGAAGAGGAGCGTGCGCATGAGATCCCGCCCAAAGAGATATGACTCCAGCAACAGCATGTCCCTGTTCAGGTCGACATACTTTGTCGTTCTTCCCAGCGTCAGCGGTCGGTAGTGATGGCACACGAGGGAGCGAGACTCTCGGCACACAGCGGCGAGGGCAGGCGGTGGTTCAGTATAGAGATTGGCGAAGCGCAGGCCCTGCTGTGGTAGGATCTTTTGGGACGCTGACGCTGGGTATATGTCGAGGACGCGAGGCTCGGGAAGGGATATTTCCCAGATGATATTCCGCAGCTCTGGTGGGAGAAGGGTAAATTTAAGTAGGGTGGTGGGTGTTGTCATCTTGCGTGAGACGTGTGGAGATGGTAAAAGCGAGCCTGGTGTAGTGTCGTCTGTCTCGATCGGGACACTCATGGCGGATGAAGAATTAAGGGAGTCAAGCAGGTATGACAGCGGGAAGGATAATAGAGCTGGGTCCAGACAGAAACATCACACTCGCCCTCTCTAGTTGTGAGATGTTATTATGCTGACCGCTGCTCCTTTCTGTTAATGGTCGCACCCGCAGCTTGTACGTCGTCTAATTCTCACTTCGTCTGTCGGCCACATCCAAAAGACATGATAATACGAGATGGTGCAGCACGACAGAGACCGCCCAGGCCAGTCCCGTCTGTCGTGGTGAGTGAGGGTTCAGCCCGCGGAATTCGAGGGAGAGGAGAATCGAGAAGAAACGAAACCAAGGGGGAGAAATAGTTCGCCGAACAATAATCGTCAAAAGACTCTGGCTCGCGTGCTCAGCCTACTGTAAGTTCTCCCTTCAATAAATAGCCAAGGACCGGCGTCTGTATGACTAGTCGCTTGCCAACTAGCCCTGCAACCTAGAGAATAAACTGGTGGGTTTCCGGGTTTCTGGCTTGAGCTGTCAAGGGAGAAGGGCCGGCGTAGAGGTTGCCGAGAGCAATATCTGAAATGTGGGAAATGTTATGTATATTATTGCGCGTCCCTGTGTTGAGATGTGGCAGTGGCATGCATTCTTGTCAGCAAGAAGTAAGCCAGTATGGTTGATATTGTGCCTTGTTTTGAGCAGACAAGTGCCGATAAGAAGAGAGGCAGGGCAAGTTGGATGCAGTAATTAGCAGGCAAAAAGTAAAATAGATCATGAAATAAAAGAAAAGACTATTTGTGTGTGTGCGTGTGTGTGAGGGAGACGGAGTCGATAGAGTAGTATATCGAAATCCGAACCTGCGTCGGCACCATGTCCGTTTTGGGGATATCCGGCGTACTATTGAAAGCCCAAACTCAAGAGGCCCTGTCGGTTCGAACATTGGACACACAGACGCCCTGTACAAGCAGACTGTGCAGTAAGGCTTGCACAGAAATGAGCTGAACCAGGTGGGGACACTTCATGACTGAAAAGTGTAGATTGGTTATGGTTCCTCGACCGATTGAGCACCTAGCATGTAATCAAAATCGACAGAATCTTCCGCAACAGGAAAGCTTACCACAGCCATGGGGCCCTGTGATTCGCAGAGAGGTTGCGCGGGAAATCGAGCATGGATCTAAGCTTAAGATCATGACCTGACATGGGTCATGGATGTGGCTGAAGATATTACATGATGCCAGGAGATGAGAGCAAATCTGCAGATATTGCATCAATCTGCGAAGGCGCCTTTAGAGCAGGTGATGCGCAAAAGTGGTCCTTGGGTTGCTTACTTCTCCTTCTTCTGTCCCTGGTTGGTCAAGAGGGCTTCATTGGCTGGTTATTATCCTGTTATGGCTGCGGGCCACGCCAGCTCGACGGTCTGGGATCTGCATTGTGTACGGAGCCCCTAATAGTCGACAGCTCAAAGAGGCATGCTTCACCGGACAACAAGGGTCCTCTTCGTGAAACTCTGTCGGTGCTTGGAAACTCTTTCTCGGTAGTTCGCCGTCGGAGGAAAACGTAGACGCCGACGACCGTTGTCCTGGAGGTCGGGTTGGGAATTTCAACGAGCAGACGTTGGCTGCATGCGATCCGCGGACAGCCAGCCTCTTCGTCGACAAGTACCATAGCACGGTAGCGATTACAACCGTCCCACAGTGTTGCCCCTCGCTTGCGACTTGACCCCGCGAAAACACATCTGCAGCCTGGTAGCAGGCGAGTAATTAGAGTCCCGATCTCGGCAATGGTGATCGACTAATCTTGGCCACTTTGCTGTGACACACACACACACACAGAGAGAAAGCGAGAGCGAGAGGTGGTCCTCGACGAGGACAATAGTTCCATGTAGATGATGACAAGAACCATGCATGCACTGGCTCTATCATGCCCACGACAATAGTCTTCCTGCATAGGAGAACCCGGCATAGCCCGGACTCAGCACATCTCTTGACAAGGAGTGTCACCTGTAGGGCATTCCTGAAGCCTTGACTGGCTGAAAAGTGCCAATAACTGCGTCCTAGTGCCGTGGAGGATGACGTTGCCCAGAAGGATGACAGATTGTAGATCCAAAACCCTCTGCCGTATTGGAACCAACATGTTGTATACAAGGGCTCGAGGACAGCTGGCATTTCTCTGCGTGATCTGCTAAATGCCATCGAATCCTATACTGAAATCAAGTGGGATAGAGTCAGAGTCACAGCACATCGAGCATCACATCACTCGGTCTCGTCGGCTCCCAAGTGCAAACCCTCTTGATGGCCCCGCGGCGAACGTCAGACCGCTACCGCCTGACCCGGCAGGCCTGCAGCCGAACCAGACCGACGGCGTACCATTGCGTGTATGGCGTGCATGGCTTGCGTGGACAGGTGTGGGTGTTTGTGTGTGTGTGTGTTATTCGTTCGTCTGCCTTTCCCTGCCGTCGACCATTGAGTCACGATCGTTGGTGGAGGGGAAGCCAAAATATGCAATGTTAGGGCGGTGCCAAAGTAATGATTCACTATCCCACTCTCGGAGGATCAAGAAAATTGGTATCGACGGGGATTTAGATTGAAATATTGATGACGAGCCACACCCTGGGCGCGCCCGAGGTCCCACGCGGACGTGGTCTGCATGTGTTGAAGAGCTCCGGGGAAAGAAAGACGGCACGACCCATCCACACACCAACCCAATCTTTTCTCTACCCCATTTGCCGGAGCCGAGATGGGAAGGATGGGGGGAGGGGGGCAGGAAACCGGGCTTCCCAGGTCGGAGCAGGGACATTCGATAATCCGACTTTAGTCTCTGTAGAGCGAGGCGTCCAGGCGGACCCACTGCAGGGGGAGTGGGGGCAGGCGCCGCCAGGCATAAAAATTTCCACAGGGCGGCTGTGAAGCTTCGCTTCCTTCCTTTCTTCTTTTTTTCTTCTTCGTGCGGCGGCATAACTTTCAAAACATTACCCGTGTTGCTCGAATCCTGACTCTCCTCCGTGGATCTCTAGTGTCAGTTATGCCACAGATCGATAAAATTGCAGCCGGCTCTCCACGCCAGTCCCATCCACCTCAGGTCGTGTGCGTCGGTTCCTTTACGGGAACCGCGAGTGATTTGGGTGGTGGCGTGGAGGCCGGACATTTCCTTTGCAGACCGTTGTGAACAGTGTCCTTGGGGCTGTTACGAAGGGGCAGATCGGAGGGATAGGTGTCATAATGCACGACAAGTTTGCTTCAATCTGGCACCTTTAGCGTTGCATGGACCATATCTCGAGAGGTAGGAGAGACAGCGGAGTTTTTCTCCCATCTTTGTTCTTTCTCTTTGGATTGGACTCTCGTCTATCCATGCGCCCGTCTAGGTAGCAGTAGTAGTAGACCTCATGAGCTCCGCGCCAAGACATGAATCCGTCGCTACAAACAATGTCATTGCAGATCCTCGTGCTGGGTATCTCATTCCCCTTCGTTCCACACAGGCTCGCAATGCTTCACTTAGCCACCATTCGTCAGAGGAGAGATGGTAGACACAACCTCCATCAAGATACATCAGGCCCGAGGTCAGGAGTGATGTTATTCGTAGCCTCCTAGGCACCAGAATCTTCACCGATCTTCTCCAGCTTGCCCATGTCCCGCTTCTCGCCAGTCTCACCGATCACGCGGATGCGGTCTATGCGGGTCTTCTCGCCCTCTCCTTCTCCAGACTCCACAAATATGACCAGGCTGTTGATGTTCTGGAACTTGACGAACCGCAGCGGGATGTTGGCCGTGCTGTCAGCATTCCAGTCGCTCTCGGTCAGCTCGATCAGCTGCGTCGGGGTCTCGCTCTCGGCATCGTCAAATCCCAGGTTGTGGGGTCGGTTCGTGAACAGCTTGAGGACCTTTGGCCGCATAACCTCCTCGTCCTCGTCCTGAACCGATGTAATCTAGCACAGGGAGAGGTGTCGATCAGCCATGGTGTCGTGTTAACGGCAGTATTTGGGGGGGGGGGGGGTGGGGTAAATACTTGAAGTGTGTGCAGTTTCAACATGGACATGAACGGAGTGAAAAGGAGCAGCTGCTCATCCGTGTCGCTCACGACCCAGTCCTTGTCCTTCTTCTTGCCACCGCTCAGCGCGCCCGGCTTGCTCGGGTCGAGCAGCACGCGCACGTTGCCGAACTCCTCGTCAAAGTTGAGCAGCTCGGTCCTTGGCAACTCAATCTGATCCGTGACGTCCGTGTAACCACGCGGCAATACCGCGCCACGCCATTCCAGGGCCGAGGCGCCACCGCCGCCCCCACCGCCGCTGCTGCTGCCGGCGGCGGGGTCACTGCCATCGTTGCGGCTTTCAAGCACAGCGGCTTTTGCTTCTTGCCATAACCTGTGGACGAGGGCCTTCAGCCTCGTGGGGTCAGCACCCTGGACCCTCTCGGCCACTTTGCCATCTCGAAACACGATGAAGGTGGGGATGCTTGATATTGCGTAGGCGGAGGCGATTTGTTGCTGTGCCTCGGTGTTGATCTTGAGGAAGGCGATGAGGTTGGCCCTGGACATTCGGGCAGAGAGCCCTTCGAAGACAGGCGCAATGGCTTTGCATGGTTCGCACCAGTCGGCATAGACTGTGGAAAAGTAAACTCAAGTCAGCATTCTATACAACTGGAAGAACATTACTTCCTAGGGGCTGATCACAGGCGTCTAGAACTGCATTGGGGGATTTGGGGGAAGCGGAGGGTAACGTACAGTCTGCAATGACGACTTTGGTGCTGCTGAGCAGTTGATTGAACTGCTCAGCAGACTCGATGTTGATTGTAGGGGAGGCGGACATAGTGGCCTTAAGGGGGAGCTCCCACAGAATCAAAGGTGTAGTTGTTGAAGTTGGAAATCAGGACGTCGGGGCGGCGATGATGGGCAACAGTTTGAACCACAGACAATGGCAAGCATCAGCAAGGGTTGGGTTGGGCACGGCGGGGTGTACAGCTACCCCCCTGTCTGTCGATCTCTGGGTTATGTCAGCAAGGTGATTTAAATCAGACCGATCTGCCCCCCCCCCCCCAAGAACTAGTTTGGATCTTTACATATATTCCTGAGGCACAAGAAAAACCAACATACATAATCTCAATTTTATGTGTCTCATTTTGAGAGCTCACATCGCCATGTATAGTAGTGAACAAGGGTTGTTTTTCCTGTATAGATGTCGATCCTGAGGTTCTATTTTCCACAGGCTGTATTACCAAGCTACTAAATCGTTGGGCAAGCTTCACTGCGCTTTGCTGCCACTGTCCAGAATTCTGTCTCAACCAGCTGGGGTGGCCGGGACCCATGGCCACTGATTCCATTGCTACAGTGATATTGGCTGCTGACAAAATATAGGGAGGTCTATGAGCTGGACTGTTTTGGTTTTGTCTCATTTAAGAAGAACGTGAGGGTGACAAAGAAGGACAAAACGACGCCACCTGATTCTTGATCTCAGATGATTTGCTTTCTTCCTCATCCAAGATTCTTCCTTTATCACAATCCCTTTATCATCTAGGAGGGCACGCACAGCAGCTATAGTCCCCAGATCAATGAATTGACAATCTCACACTCGTATTACCGCTTGAATACACTCGATACTTATCTGCCCCATCAAGGCTCCATCCCGGGCAAGCCAGGCTTCCCTTCTTATCTGGTAAAGCAAGGTCTCCTCCTCCTCTCCCCATTGTCAAGTTGTAAATCCCTCGCATTCACACCATACATTGGCAACTGAATTCGCTACAAAACTCTCCGTTGCACTTAGCAAGAGGCAGCGCACCTAGCGTTGCTTTGAACTTGCCGTGATCCGACATTATCACCAATTGCTTCTTCTGCCTGCGCATCTGGGCATCCTAGGCTTTGCGCTAAGAACAGAACAGAAGGTAGCTAGCGGTGTGGAGTTCATTCACGGATCGCTACGGCCAGGGCCAAATGCTATCTTATCTCTCCTCAGGCCGTAATTTTAATTAAACAGAATGATGGTACCGTACCATACAGGCCGTATTGCAGACATAGCCTGTATTTACAGGGCAGCAGCAGTAGGATACCCTCTCCCAACGACGCTGTAATTACTATGTATGGTAGGTTATCGACAGTTACGTAACTTTCAGTGCAGATTGCCCTTCTCGGTGTGGTCCATATGGGGTTCGCAATGTGACGCAATCGGCAAGCCAGAAAATGCTGGGGTGGCTCACCGCGTAATTAATTAGAAAGCCATGCGCAGCACAGTATTTGTTTATCTTGGAGGGAAGGGGAGGGGTTTTCTCTCTCCTTTCCCTTCGCCAGGCCAGCAAAAGCCAATCTCGAGACCGTCGAGTTCGATTTAAGGGCCCAAGAAGATGAAGCAGATGAGCAAGGCCCTCCTGGCAGCCTCTTGGCTCGCCGCGCAGACTGCCTATGCACAGTTCGTGACTGCGCCGACGGATCTTAACGAGACCACCGGCTACCTGAGCATTCCTGTGCGGTCCAAGCAGGTTCCTGATGGGATCTGTGAGACTACACCGGGAGTCAAGTCCTACTCTGGATATGTCGACATTGCCGAGCACGAACACATCTTCTTTTGGTTCTTTGAAGCTCGCAATGAGGATCCTACAACTGCTCCGCTGACAGTCTGGATTAATGGCGGCCCCGTAAGTCTCTTGAGTCATTGAAACCTCAGCTCTTGGGGAAAAAAGGGGAGAATAAATTGCTGATTCTCGTTGTCACGATCACCGCAGGGTTCCTCGTCCATGATCGGTCTATTTCAAGAGAATGGGCCGTGTGGCGTTGATTATGATGGCAACCTGTACGTTAGTGCTTGAAACAATCAAGACGCCTCCTTCGTAATGAAGAAGAAGAACCTCCCTGACTCACCTTTGACTAGGTACAATAACCCGTACTCCTGGAACAACGCCAGTAACATGCTCTTCATCGACGAGCCGACCGGCACGGGCTTCAGCTACTCCGACGCTATCCCAGCCTACGTATCAGACTACGGCGACGTCGTCCAGCTCCCCAGCGAGTCGTGCCCTGACTACGCCGCTGATCTGGACTGTGGCACGTACTCTTACGCCAGCCTGCTCGACACGGCCAACTCGACCTCGGCCGCGGCCCCGCGCTTTTGGCGGACCCTGCAGGGCTTCATGGGCGCCTACCCGCAGTACTCACGCGAGTCCTTCCACTTCACCACCGAGTCCTATGGTGGGCACTATGGTCCCATCTTCAATGAGTACATTGAGACGCAGAACGCCGCCATCCGAAATGGCTCGCTTCCGGGTGCTCACGCGATCAACCTCGCCTCGGTCATGATCGGTAATGGCTGGTATGACCCGCTCATCCAGTATGCAGCTTACTATAACTTTACCGTCTACCCAGGCAACACATGTCAGTATTTTTTGCCTTCTTTATGTCTGGTCCAAGAACAAGATGCTAATACGTGACAGATGATTACTCTCCCTTTGATGCCTCCACGCAGGCCAAGATGTACAATGGTATGTACGGAGCTGGCAACTGCTACGACCTGACAGTATCATGTTACGAGACTGGCATCAACGAGATCTGCTCCTATGCCGACGACTTCTGCTATTACGAGGTGGAGGCCGTGCTGGATGATGCGGCCGATCGCGACGAGTACGACATCCGCGAGCTGCAGCCGGATCCCTTCCCGTATGAGTTCTATGTCGACTACCTGAACACCCCTGAAGTCCAGGCGGCGATTGGCGCCTTTGTGAACTTCACCGAGGGGTCGGATTACGTTGGTGATGCTTTTGGTAGCACTGGTGATGACGACAGGGAGGACGGGACCCTCGAGGCGGTGCGAGAGCTTGTGTCTCAGGGTGTTTATGTGGTCCACTATGCCGGTGATGCGGACTGTATGTTTCCCTTTCCTCCCAAAGACCTAGCCCTTTTGCTCTTTTTTCTTTCTTTTTTCCTTGAAAAGAAAAGTACCAAAAGTTTGATTGAACTAACCCCCATGTGAATCCAGACAACTGCAACTGGCTCGGCGGCCAGGCCGTGGCCGAGAAGATCAACGCCACCAACTTCAACTCGGCTGGTTTCACCAACATCACCACTTCTGACGGCATCGTCCATGGCCAGGTGAAACAGAGCGACAACTACGCCTTCGCCCGCGTCTACTACAGCGGCCACGAGGTGCCCTTCTACCAGCCCGTGCTGGCTCTCGAGATGTTCGAGCGCGTCCTGGCCGGCAAGGACGTGGCGACCGGCCTGGTGGGCATCGCCAGTAACTACACCACCGTCGGCCCCAGTGTCAGCACCTTCCGGGAGGGCAACGCCACCGTGCAGTTCGACGTTGTGCCCACGAGCGCGACCTACAATGTGACCACAGGCGCCCCGAACCCGTACTCGTCGAATGAGACCGCGAGTGATGTCCTGAGCGGGTCCTCGTCGCAGAAGCGCGGGAAGGCCCAGGCGAAGAGGTCGCACAAGAAGCGGACGGCTGCTCTTCTGCGTCAGAACAAGCGCTGGGCATGAGGGCCAGGGTGGTTTTTATACATCTAGGCTAGTAATATTGTAATAAATGTGACCAGCATTTGCACAACTTCATATATTCGGTTGCATGCCCAATGTGGCCAAGCTTCTCTCATGGGCATCTTTGAGTCCGCCAAGTGTCGTCACTCTATAAGTGCTTGGCTGGCAAACGCAAAATGAACAACGTACATGATACTCAAGTCGATTCTAGCTTTTCAAGATGGGCTGTAACCGACTGCCGAAGACTTGTTCTCGCAAGTGGCAGCCCTCGTGTCATGCAAAACTGGCAGACGGCGTAGGGAGGAACGTCTTTTGAAAGAGGCATGAAACGTGGTAAAGACCGATGTAAATTATTTTCAAAGGTGACAAAATGCATAGTCAACAAACTTTGACATGCCCAAGTATAAAAAAATGCTCATACGAGAGCGGTTTCTAGAAATTGTTGTAGTGTAGATCCATGAAGTATACTTTGCCAATATAAGTTTACATTGACGGAAATCAAGCACATACGACCATAGGTAGTGGAGAACTTGGGATCCCGTCTGCTCTCCCCTAAATAAGCCACTAACCGCCGGATTAGTAGTTAAGTGGGTGACCATTAGCGAATACCCGGTGTTGTATGTTTTTTGACTTTTTCTTCCTTTTCTTCTCCATGTTTTTCTGTTCATTTTTATATGTCTTTTTTTTTGTTGTCTTCCTCTACGAAGCTCGGCATGGATGGCTATTGTTGCAGTCAGAGACACAGGCTGTAGCATCTCCCCTGAGCTCGTTCGCAGGTCGAAACACCACGGCAAGGCCAAGTATTCCTGCCCAAACCTAGAACATCGCATGATGGGGTTGGAGCACACAGCCTTCTTCTGCAGCCACCGCGGCACGAGCCTAAGCACCGGGTGACCACGGCAGCCCAAGGGAAAAGAGAGAAGAAAAATCCCTCGGTCAGTGGTGCCCTATGGCCCAACCAGCCGGGCTCAGCCTTGTTTTGATCTCTCTCCTCCCCTACTTTCTTTCCTTGGGACATGGGACTGGGTTGGGAATGTTGGCCGCTGGACTTGGTGCCAGGGTGCTGCACGCCGGGCCGAACTCTATCTTGATCAGCGACTTCGAGGGGGCCAGCCTGCAGGCGTCCACTCGAAAAATTGCATGATTGGAGCATCGACCAAGGGGAAGAAGAGGGAGAGCTGTCCGTAAGCTACCATGTAAGGCCAAGCCCAGAAAAAGAAGGACAGGACCCTGAGCAGACCCAGCGACCATCAAATCACGTTGAACGAAGCCTTGATGCTATCCCGGGCCAGCCACGGCAAATGTTCGATACTAGCCAGTTGCGGGACCACCTGGCCGGCGTGCAGTCGATGCAACCACTCTCGTCTCCGCTCCAAATCAAGACGTGGGCCACGGGCAGAAGACCCTGGAAACACACACACACCCCTCCCACCATTCTTCCCTGCTTTTAGGTCGTGTTCTTGGTCTGCAGGCCAACGTCATCGGCTGACAGGAGGTCTCATCGATTGTCCAACCACAACCCACGGCCACGGCCACGACACAGCATGCACCATCCCCCCATTTTCATCCAAGGACTAGGGGATAAGAGAGACTTCCGTCCAGATGTGCTGTGTGAACACATGTTTTTGAGGGACGCAAGGACCTTCAATCCCTCCCTCGTCAGGCGAAGAAGACCCATCATTACATTGCGTGTGTAAAGCACATAGTATCCGAGTGGTCCTCGATGCGCCACGATCCCCTGTCGGCGATGGGCAGGAAAAAGATGTCGCAGCTCTTGTGGGTGACCTATTCAAAGGTACCTTGGCGCACTAACGTAGATCACTAGAGGGAGGCTTATTTTCTGCTTGGGAAGGAGGGGGAGGGTGGGAAGGCGCATGCATGGGCAAGTGACGAAAGAGTGCGCAGGGGAGGGGCAACCAGGAGGGCAGTGTCATTCTTTCCACGAGCAGAGCCACGGCTTCTAGACTCAAAAAGACTTGACGTGACCCGCACCTGCCCACTTCCACCCACTTGCACATGGCTGTGTGTCGTATTATGGTACTTTGTATATGATTCTGATATATAGTATATATTTCTCCCGACTGTCCGTTGCCTACCGCACCTGTTTTATTTTCCTTCTTAGTTCTCCAACAACTCATCCCTCCCGCGAACAAGATTCTACTATTTTGGTTCAGTCCTTTTTACACAAATACCTCTACCCCCCTTCCATATTTGAGGAGCGCATAGAGCCTGTCATCCCAACCGCCCCTCGGCCCGCAACGTCAGACCCGGCGGCCGTCAGATCCTGCTCCTCCTCTATCTTCAGTTGGATCGCCTCAGTAACCCAGCCTTCACCAGATTTAGCTCTGGTCCCCAGAGTTGTCGCCGCTGCTCTCGTGCTGGAATATATTATCAGCCTCTGGTCCCCAGTGCCAATAGCTAAAGCATAACTGCCGCCCTCAAGACTCTGAGAATTGCTTGCACTCGAGTCGCATCTCATCAGTCAGTAGTCGACCTTTCTTATTCACTCCCCCTTTCTTCGTCTTGTGTCCTTTCGTGTGTGTCACCTAGTCTCGATACCGCCCAGACTTTCTTCACCATGTACTTTTATGCGCCCATCGACTATGGTATTCTCCCACCTCGCCCATGCCCATACACTTTCTCCGCGCCAAGATCCTCTTATCCATACAGCTTTGCTCTACCCAGAAAAACAAGAAGAATGGAAGAAAACATATCGCTAACTCATTCCTTCTCAAGTGCCTTCAAAGGAGTATCGCCACGCCAAGAAGGTGGTCTACCTCGAGCCGCCCGTACCAGGCAGCGTGACCGTCAAGCGCAGAATCACAAGAGTCATCCCACCACCACCACCTCCTCCCCAACCCAGGCCGCCGCCGATGATCGAGCAACCACCCCCACCACCGCCGCCCGTATTCCTACCCCCGCCGCCACCACCACCGGTGATCATGCTCCCGCCCCCTCCTCCGCCTCCTCCCGTTCGCGATGAGATTGACGTCATCGCCGTAGACGTCGAGCCCTCCGTCACCTCAAAGAAATCTTCCAAGAGAAGCTCCTCCTCATCCTCGTCTTCCTCCGCATCCTCCACATCCAGGAGGACAAGCAGCAGAGCCCGCACCGAGATAGCTGAGCGCGAGAGGGAGCTCGTCATCGAGAGGGAGAGACTTGTCCCCGTGTACCGGCCTCGGAACTACGAGTACCGCTACGTTGAGGGTCCTGCCGAGAGGCCCAGAAGGCAGCAGTCTCTGCCACCCGCCCCACCGAGCCCTCCACGGCGCGAGGAGGTGGAGAGGGAGAGGATTACCATCGATATTGAGGACCGGAGGAGGTCAAGGGGGCGGTATCACTATTGAAGGGGATAGTAGGCAGTGGCCCTGGAAAGTGGTGAAAACCTGAAGTCTTGTCACTTTTCTGCTTTTCTTTCTTCAGACTTTCTGTGTTTACTTGAACGACTGCGATGTGACCACTTCACCCGATCTGAGTTTGTTTTTGTCTCGTACGGAGAGTGAGCCGAAGCGCTATTGTCAGACTACGAAGAATCTGTGTATCTGGATTTACTACTGTATTGTACAACAAACCGCAAGCGACGGGCCTAGGATGGCGAAATTTTGGTTGATGATATACCCTTGGGAATGAATGTCAGGCAATGGATAGTTTTCTTGATCTTTTTCCAAACTCGATTGCTACCCGAGGTTCAGGCACTGATCTGATCCGAGTATGTCTGAACTATTTTTTTTTTTACCAAGAGGGCGATTTTAGTATGGCAAGAATGGAAAATTCTATTGCAATTTCTTTAATTTCTGTCTTATCAACACAACGTGTGCGCGTGACACTCTTGAGAATCATTCCCCACGTCTTCTCAACAATTGACCTGGCTTGATTAAACCACCAAACCCACTCACGGTCGTCGTTCCCACCAGCGAAGAAAATCCATCCGCAGAAACCAGCCAGCCGTCCAATGCAGAAAGATAACGAGCACCAAAAGTACCGCCCAAACAGCCGCCTGAAGCGGGCTGCTGAAAATCATCAAAAAAAAAAAAAAAGGCACACCACTAAGAACAGCAATTTTTCTGGATGTGAGAGAGTCCGCCTGTCTGATCTCTGTTAACTCCGTAGATAAGAAAAGGCGCAACCTAGAACAAAAGTCTTGTGCCGCCCGAGTAAGTTGTATAGTAGGTTCTTAACTCTTTTTGATTTGCTCGTCCAGGACCTTCTTTTCCTCCTCCCGACTTTCATCCCGTGGTATCATGAGTACTGCGGAAAAAGAAAACCACCAAAAGAAAAGATCACCGAGGAAGGGAAGATTAAAAAGGAGAATCGACGGCAAAACTGCTGGGACCCGCATGCAGCTGCACAGGATCAAAGAGTGTTTGATTAGAGTATTATTCTGCGCGTCATTGCTCCCTGGCATGCCAAGTCGAGGCCAAATGCCAGTGCGTAGGGGTTTCCTGCCATACAGGCCTGAATGCTGCAGATATCGTAGACTGACATCGATTGGGCGTATCTGCTGAGGTGAAACAGAAAAGAAAAAAAAGAAAGGATATATCGCTCTTCGCTCTGATAGATGAATGGTATCTCGTAACTGATAAATGGGATGTAGATGCTGTGCATGTATGATAATTACAGGTTGATGCGTTGTGAAGAAAATGCTCTTGATCAATGTGCAAGATTCGTTACTGCGCGTACCCTCTCATTGGTAACGCGTCTCCTCTCGAAGGCGAGACATAGAACCCTGGGGCGTTAGGCCTCTCGGCGGTAGACCCATGAGCATTGAGCTCTCCCGTCGGCTGGCCCTCGTGCTATATGCTTGGTCATAGCTGGCTGTCTTCTCGTTGCCTTGTCGTTGCTGTGCGAGGTAGTACTGGCTCGGGTCAGAACCCGGGGTGATCAACATGCTCTCGTAGGCTGGGCGTGTGGAGAGACCCGCGTTTCCGTTTTGTTGCGCATATGGATTCGGTTCGTAGCGCTGGGCCAAAGGTGGAGTGGGCGTTGATCTGAGCTGTGAGAACCCGCCAACAGGGGGCGGCGTGTTACCCCGGCGCTGCTCAGCTAGTGCCTCTGCGAGACGGTGCCGATGAGGTGACTCGCGCACTCCACCAGATGTTGCCGGCCTCGGGGGAATTTCAATTGATCCTGTCTCCGTAGAGTCATCCATTGACCCAGGAGACGGAAGCTCGTACTCTTCTGGCGTGATGCCAAAAATGGCTTCATAGTTCTGCAGGAGTAGAGCGAAGACGGGAGCCGGGATAGTGAGCGTGGGTGAGAAGACGATACCGACGTTGCGAACGGTCATCTTGTTCCGATCGGCGTTGTTGATAATCTTGATCAAGAAGGCGATCAGGTACCTGAGCAGTGCGCCATTGGCAAGAGGAAGGCGCTTCACAAGTTCGTGAAGTACTGCAATCTTCTCTTGTTGCGTGTTCATCTCGGTGACGGCCACGAACTCGAGGTGAAGATCTCTTGTCAGGATGCTAGTCGGCAGCTCCCGCAGATACGCCTTCAGCATGGACGCGACCGCATGAATGTCGTGGTACTGTTCATCTTCGAGCAGATTGATGTCGCCCTCGGTGTCAAACCGCTCTTTGAGCTGCTTGATGACCACGTTGGAGCCGCTGAGACGGAAAATGCCTTCCTCTGTGATTGCTCCTCTGGCATCGAGATATTGAATGCAGCGGTAGATGACAGCTGGCAGCGGTACTCTGACGTCCCGAGGAGAGTTGTACTTCACAGCCTCGGCGAGGGGCGCGCCGAACACGCGACGGACCGGTCCAGAATACATGGCGGAACCAGAAGAGCCACCTTGGTCGCTGAACAGTGAGTCTGCCCCGTCGCTGGATGATCTCTGTTTGGGTCCAAAGCCAAAGAAGCTCCGCTTTTTGGCTTTCTTCTCGTCCATACCCTGGGGAACCAAGCCGCCCATCTTATTCTGCCACATTGCCGAGTCGGGAGGCATCCACTGGGGATCTCGTGGCGCCGAAATCGAGTACGGCATTTGTGACGGCACTGTCACCACGGGCGGCGTTTCGGTATACTCAGTCGATGGAATGTCGCCCTGTTTGGTGTTGTCGTAGCTCACCCCAATAAGCGTGTCCTCAGATTCCCTGGACTGCTGCTGCTGCTGCTGCTGCTGCTGCTGTTGCTGTTGAGCCCTCCCCTGCTTCTTCTTGCTATTTGACCCCTTGCCGTGGCCAGAGCTCGACCCGTGCCGGTCCTGCGCCCTGCCCTCGTCGTCCGCCGGGTCTTTATAATTGGTCCATGGGAGCAAGACGTTAACCCACAGATCACGTTCCTTGTCGCTTTCAGCACAGAGGACGTGCTTTGTCATCGTGGTGGGGTCCTTCTTCTTCGGTTCCAGGATCAAAAACGCATGGCGATACTGGTTGTCAGCCTCATCATTGATACCCGTCGGTGAGCTTGGATCGTTTTGGGGATGAGACTGCCGACCGATCTGGGCACCCTGGAGCTTGATCGTGCCCAAGTGTGCCCCTCCAGGCGTCTCGAAATACTTCAGCTGAGGGCCCTCGACAATGAAAAACCTGGCCTTCCAACCACCAAAGTTTTTACCTCGTTTGGTCAAGTAGCCGCTCTTGTACTGTCGCCCGCCGGGACCAAGCTTTGGCCCTCCTTCCTCGTCGTGACCTGTTGCAGAGCCCACCTCGTCGGCATTGGGCGGCAGGACGTTTGTCGACAGGTATCTGCAGAGATCGATGGCTGCGCTCGTGTCCAAGGGTGTACTGAAAACCTCGTCGAGATATTGATCAAGTGCGCGCCGGCGGGCATCCAATTTCGCCGGAGCGTGGCCGCTGAAGAGCGATCGATCAGGCGTCCTCGCGGAGAAGTCGGCACACTGCTTCAGCTTCGAGTCGAGCTTGGCGAGAGACAGTGAATCCTTCTCCACTCGCCATAACTCTCCGCCATCCGCTCTGGAGAGAATTGCAAGGGTAAAGACGGGATCTTCCTCTAGCTGCGTCAAGGAGATCAGACTCGCACGTGACGGTTTCATTCTCGAGGACGCGACCTTTACGACGACCGCAATTAGTGCATTCGGCGTGATCAGTAGGTCCGGATATTCATCAGACATGAAACCCCTGTACACCCTTGTCCTTTCTGTCGTGCTCTCCCGGCTGGATGTTGGCGTGTCAACGACCTCCGGGTCTGCAAATCTCTTCTTCACGATGTTGAGTGGTTGAGGAGATTTCAGAACCAGCGCATCGTGTGGTGATGGAGTCTGAAGAGGGGTGTTCGGAGGCAAGGGGATAGGTTGCCGAGGGGCCCGTGGCGACAATGTTGCGGCAGGAACAACGCCAGTCTCTCGGGGTGAAATTGGCGGCGAACTGGGCCCTGAGCCCACTCCGATCGGACGTGGGCTTCCAGGCAAGCCTATGCTCACATTCGTATCTGCACCTCGACCACTGAGCACGCCGGCCAGTGACCCCAAAGACTCTGGAGCATTCGGTCGGTTCAAAGATCTCGGGGAAGAGGCCGGCGTCTCACCCAACACTTGAATGTCCGGCGGGGGTGCCTCTTTGGGTGTTCCCTTGGCGCTGCTGCTTTGTTTGCTCTTTTTCGAGAGGCTCCGTGCTTCCGCTTCCTTCAAGGCTAGAATCTCACGCATCTGGTCATCTTCCTGTCGTGTCCTGCGGCGTCCTCGCTTGGTTCTCGTCATCTCGTCGACCTCGAGCAATTCACCCGTATCTGGGTCACTGTCATCGTTCTCCTCTTCGGTCAATGCCGGACTGGCTTTTGCGGGTTTGAGTTGCAGAGGTGCTGGCGGTGGCTTCCTCGGTGGTGGCGCCGGTGGCGCTGGGAAGTTGGACAGACCGTCACCGTCATCGTAAGCCCTTGACGTCGAGGTGGTCTCAGAGCCAGCTGCTTGCTGAGACGCAGCAGGAGGGCCAACTCGTGGAGACGTGGGCTGGCGATGTGAACTCGTCCTTGGTGGCAGGGGGGTATTCAACGGCAGCTCATTTGCCATATCCCTCCGTTTTCTCAGGGCCTCAGCCTCCCTCTCCTCGGCATCGGGATCGTACTGGTCGAGTGCATGCTCGCTTGCTTCCGGCATGAAATGGGAGGGGTTCAGGATTTCTTCCACGGCAGAGGGAGGCCCATTGCTGCTCTGATCCGCTGGAGGGGTTATTGGATATGGTGCCATCGCAACATCGACAGGTGAGAGCCTATCGGAGCCGACGCTGGGGGAGGCAGGTATGTCGAGCATGGGTTGCTTCATTGCCCCAGGCGCAGCATCCGTAGTGCTCGAGCTGGAGCCCTCTTCCGATTCCTGAACCAGGCCTGGCGATGATCCTGGCGGCGTTGACTGTGACGAAACCAGATCCTTCAGCTTCTTCCTATATTTTTCTTTCTCCTTAAGAGATCGTTCCAGGTCTTTGTTCAGTCCCAGGATCATGGCCCTTTGCTTGTCCACCAGCCGCCAGAGCTGCGCATTCTGTTGCGACTGGCCCTGCTTCTCCTTGAGGAGGTACGCTATCACAGCCTCAGGCGACCCGGCCGCCTTGATTAGCCTCTCTATGTCCGCCGGACTTGAGGCGACATCTTGAGGGTTTTTGGACGCCGAGGATCCTGCGGATATCGCAGAGATGGCAGAGTCTATGGACGAGTTCCGGGGAGGGCCTTTGACAGTCTCCATCCTCGACGACCCAGGTATGGCTTGGGAGGATGCACCGCTCCTAACTCCAAGTTTGTTCACGGGATCCGATGTGGTGCTGTTTTCATTCGGGATGCGCAGGGAGAGCGACCTATTCGACGAGTTAGCTCCGAGAACACAGGCCGCACTGCGATGGCTACTATATGTTGACCGCAGGAAGTGAAAATGTCACCAAGCGACTGACTCCACGAACCTGGCTGCTTGTTTGTCTTCGGGCGTCGCGGTACCAGAAGAATCGCTGTTGTAGTACGAGTACTCGGCGTCGGTATTGTCTCTCGAGGTTTGTTGAGGGAGGTGCGCTGTTATACCAACTGCCTCGCTCGAGTGGGCAGTGGGCGTTGCGACTTGCGAGGTTGAAAATGGTATGGCAGTGGCAATGGGCGTGCTCGAATGGTTGAAGTTGGACCTGTTTGGAGTAGGACTGGTCGGTGGAGAGATTGCGGTGGTATTATGAAGCGGGCTGGGCGCAGGTTTCCGGAATCTGGAACAGGAGAGCAATGAGGATCAGTATGAAGTACTGTCGAGTAGATCTTGGGCACCGTGGTCCACGAGACGTAGTGGGCGAGACAGACGCTCTGGCCGTCGCAACCACGGTATTCAGTTGCACAGTGAGAATTGGTCCCTTGGAGACATTGAGTAAAAAAGAAAAGAGATTAAGCACTTGTCGTTCTCGCAGTTGAGGGAGGCTCCCATGCGCCCAGTGTGTAGTAGCACAAGGGACTGGGCTGATTCATGTACAGCGACCGAGACAAGTATGCGTGCCAGGCCACAAGAGAAACCCAAAGATCTGCTGGATCTCTGGGCGTGCACGGAAGTATGTAATACCTTTGTCTGTGGGTGCTGGAAGGCTCGAGGGTTGGGGAAGGCAGACGGCAAAGGGCAGATGAATGAAAATGGGTTCTTTCTTCTTTTCTTTCTTTCTTTCTTTCTCTTACTTACCTGGCACCAGTGCTTGACAGAGGAGTAGTTGTTGGCGAGCCCAGCGCGCCAGATCCAGACACAGGCGTACCCAAGGGAAAGATGGTGATAGGACTGGGGACGTGGGCGGGGTGAGACGAGTGCTGAGAAGGGCGAGGACGACCAGCAGAAGCAAAAGTGTTAGGCCGGCCTATGGTTGGACTGTCCTGAACAGGGCTTCCATACTGGTCATCGAAGCTGGTGGTAGGTGAGACGGGTGTGTAGGGCATGGCATTGGGGCGGTGGTAGTCCGGTATGGGTCGAGATGATGGGGACTGGGCGGGTTGGAAGTGAGACTGAGACTTGGGTTGCGCATGTCCATGCCCAGGTCCACTGCCGGCAGAACCACCGTTCGAGGCAGAGCCAGAGCCAGGGTCAGGCTGGGAGTAGAGGAGGTCTGGTGAAGGGTGCTCCCGATTCTGGTGCGCAAGCTGCGACATGGCCCGCTATGCGACACAGGGTCGCAACCGATCAGGATGAGAAACGACGAGGGTCGAGGGGTGTTGTGGCCCTGGATCTCTTGTTTGGGGGAAGGGGTTTAAAGACGAGTTGAGTAAGGACGAGGGTTAGCCGGGACCAGGGCTAAGTCGAGTCAGGGCTGGTAGTAATAATCAACAACTTCTGCGACAAGAGTGGGCGAGAGGCTCGAGCCTCCGTCGAGAGAGATGCTCAGTTTAGACCCAGATCCGATTCCAGAACCCAAATCTCTGGCTCTCTGCAGAAGCAACCGCATGAGCACCCGGCCAGGCCAGCCGAGTCGAGTCGAATCCAAGTTGAGCTCTGTCGAAGCAAGAGTTTGTGTTGCGACCAATTAGACAGTCAGGCGGAACAGACCCAAGGTGCCCCCCAGCGCGGGAAGCTAGGGCCTGGGCTCTTTTCTCTTGTCTCGTGATCCAAGGCTGGCAGAAGCACAGAGGGCTGCCTGCTGATCAAGGCTGGGATACGCTAGAGTGTGTGTGTGGTGGTGGGAGAAAGCGTGTTTCGAGAAGTGCTTGGGTTGACCCTGACCCCAGATCTGTCGACTCCAATCTCCGGGATGGCCAGTCTCTCCAATCGACAGGCGCAACAGATTCGCGAACGTGGACAGCGTCAGTCAGCGGGATGTTTTGGTTCGGGGTATCTCGTCCGATTTGTCCGCTGCCTGTGGAGGACAGACAGGAAAAGGCGCTTAAATTTATGAACCTTGAACCAATACGCAAGACGAAGTGATAAGGCTGGCTGACGGCAGGCAACCTTGGAAGGCCTGCATTGAGTCGTGTGGGTGTGTGTGTGTGTGAAAGAACTTTTTGGAGAGGAAACGAAAAAAGAATTACAGATTAATAAAAAGAAAATAAAAAAGAAAAGGGTAGATGGATAAGGTAGGGGGAAAAGCCCGGAATGATGAACCGCCAGTAGATATGAATACCTGCTGCTGTGCAATGATACATAGATAAAGGGAGGGAAAATGAGGGGAAAGGATTGGAATGGAGAGATTGGACCAGAAAAAGAGAGAAGAGAGGTCCAAGATGTGAAGACGCACTGGAAATGACGGTTTGATCAGGGTTTTTCTTTTCCTTCCTTGGGTGAGGGAAGGAGGAGGGAGTGGGGGGGGGGTGGTTCCAGGGCTAGAGCTAGAGGCCAGAGGGAGCTTGGGGGCTGTAGCAGCAGCAGCTACTACTGCACTACGACAGGATGGCCTGCCTCAGTGTATATGGGAAAGAGCAGGCCTCACTACTACTACACTAACAATACTACGACTATACGCGTAGTCTGGGGCCAGGGGCGAGTCCTAAAAAAACCCCAATGGGACCACAGCAAATCATTCATCTCCGGCATGACTGCTGCAACTACGTGTACAGCAGACAAAGAAAGTACACTGGCCAGTTGCTACAGACCACATGGCTGCTGGTCAACTCACCATTAGCTTATGTGGACTGAGCGGTACAGGCAGCTGTAGCCACCCCCCCCCCCCCCCACCCCACTTCCTCCTTTGTGAATCACCAACCATCACCATCTGGCATCATCATCGTTCCCCGAAAGGCATGGCATGTGTTTGATCTGACACCTGGAGTGAATCTGGTCGAGGTCATGCAGACAGGTCCTGGAAGGCACAGCATGTTCCTGCACGGATCCTGGCAGGGTCTGAGCTTACTGCTATGGTGCCATGGTATGGTTATGGTATAGTATGGGCGATATAGCACAGTACATATCGAGACACTGTGGTTGTAGTAGTGGCAGTAGCAACAGCTGTACCAAAGTGATAATGATCACTGGTTGTGTGTGTGTGTGTATGTGTGTATGCGGTGGTACCTCTTTGTTCCTTTTTCTTGTCCTCTCTTCTCTCTCTCTCTCTCTCTCTCTCTCTCTCTTTCTCCCTCCTCTCTTGACATCCTGTACTGGACGGAAGGGCCCGCAACTCAATATGTCAAGTTAGTACCGTAGGACCAACGTGCATACGCACTACTGCTGTGACATGCTGTAATAGTAGTACCTTGATATCCCACACTGTGTGTACCCATAGTTTTTTCTCGATTATGATGGTATGGTGGTAGTGATGGATGGAAAAGAAGGACGATGGACATGAAAGAGACCACCCACGCGCCCGTGCCCCTGACATGACCATACCCATTTTTCCCCATCTGATCCAGACCAATTTGCAAGAAAAAAAGATAGATAGAACCATAGTATGTACCATAGTAGCTCTTCTCTTGACTTGCAGCTCCTGTCTTGATTAACCCCCCCAGCTGATGATCCTCCTCGACGGTTCCTCCTTTGATACCACGCTCCCTTGAAATCCTGTCCTTGTTCCTGTCATGTCAATAATTGTCTTTTCGCCTCTCTAAAATCTGATCAGAGGTGGGATAATTTCCCATCCTGCCCCGTCCGACACGAAATCTCAGCCTGCCAAACATGCACGCGTGACACATGGCCAGAAATTGAGACCCTCCTTTTCGGACCCTCTCTTCTTTTCGTCTTTCTCTCTCCTTCACTCTTTCTTTTTCCTCAAGGCCTTCCCTCCAAGGTCCTCGAGACACACCCACACAGACCCCCCCTTCTCTTTCTCCTTCACTTCCTCTCTTTTTTTGTTTCTTTTTTTTTTTCTTTCTTTCTTTCTCTCGATCTGCTATTTACCGTAACGGTCCCCTCCGGCCATCTGGGTCCCCTCTACCGCCCAATTCCCTGGAATGCTACCCTGATCCGGCCAAGCTGCAAGGGGAGCCTGTCCCGATTCTGAAGGATCCCTGTCCTGATCTTCCCCAAATAGGGGTGCCCACAATGAAGGAAGGCCGGCCTTCTACCACAGCTGCCCTGACACGCCTGACTCTATTGAACCTCGTTGGATTTTAGTCCCCCAGCGCTGGAAAGGGGGGCCGCGGCTGGCGTCGCTCGGCCTCGAGACCAAAGTACGCCGCTGTCTATCGATCAACCGACTCTGCCAAAACAAGAGAGATCCCTAATAGAACATGGTGCTATCTTTGAATTATGGCGTGTTGATAAGCTTTCAGCTGCTGCTGATCATTCTTATTCAAGGTTCGGTCCAGCGCGCCATGGGCCATTACGAAGAAGAAAGAAAATCACGAGCCGTGACCAGAAAGTTAAAGAAGAAAACGTGGGGGTGCCTCTACTGCCACTACTGGCCCCATACCGAGGAGGATAGCACCTCTGTCTAGGGTACGTGTGTGTGGTGTGTATGTACGTGTTCCTTATTGCTGTGCCCTCTGGCAGATTGTAGCGTGTGTGTGTGTGTGTGTGTGTATGTATACATGGTAGCAGTAGTATAGTGTACCGTGGTAAAAGGGAGTTCGACCCGGAGAATTCCCACCGGCACTGTGGAGTCCTCCGGGCTTTATTTAATTAACAAATCAACAGCCGAAGCCAAGCTGGCATGGGTTGGTGTTCGCGCGACGACCTCTTGGACTGCAACTTCAGCCCGCACTGCATCTCCTGTCATGTTCACTGTGGGCTCCTCCGGTGTGTGTGAGTGTGTACGTACTCACACAGACAGAAAGAAGGTACGGCAAACATTACACCACAGGCCCAACCGAGCCAACCACCACATTCCGAGCATGGGCTCCGCGTCACATTCGCCTCATCAATCTCAGACCACCTTGGCTGCAAGTCCCGCTGTCAACCCCACGGGCGGGCTCACCAAT